TTCTGGTTTCCCACTTTTTCATAATTCAACTAAGTAGGAAGACAAGCACAGGAGACAGAAAGTGAAGAAGTAACAGTTGAGTGTTGTATCACACGCAACTGATCCGTGTAATTACAGGTCAGTGCCACAGTTCAGCATGGGTAAAACAAAGATTATTCCATTAATATTCCCATAGCCAAGGGACTTCCCAGACTTCAAAATATTCTGGCACATTCTGCAAAAATACAGCTAAAAGACCTTTGAGTTGAGTTTCAAGCCATTATGTAATAAAGAGTATAAAAATACTTGAGAACCATAAAAGAGTAAGGGGCTAATCCAAAGACAACTGAAGTTAATGGAAAGCCTAGGACTGATTTTATTTGGCTCTTAATGACCCCTAGAGACAGATTTCCTACAATTTATATTAAACCTCCTACTGCTTTTCCAAGGCAAATTACATTAGATTTTTATACTGAAGTCCTTTACTACGTAAGTCAAATATAGTATATACAAGAGGTCAAATATGAAAGAGAATTAGGAGCTAAAACATACTAAAGATGTCATTACTTCCAAAAGATAAACAGACTGTCAATGCTGAGTACATTTACACGGCAGCTTAAAAAATACCCTCCACAAATTTTAAAAGCATTTTGGAAAACAAACATCACTCAAAAGCCATGCAGTTTTCAGAAAAAGCCGCCATCAGAATAAACATGAGCAAACTTCACCTCTTGTAATGCTGCAATGTTAGCCACAGAATGACCAAAATAAACAAATGCATATGACCATTACTGATTCTCTGTTTCTACTGATTTGGTCTCAAAGTTAGGGATAGTGGATAGAATCAAATATCTCATTCTGAACTGGAATTGACAATGTGTCTTCCTGTGTCTTAGCAATGTTTTGGGACATTAGTTTCAGAACTGTTAAACCATGTTTTTAAATCAAATGAACCTTAGCTAAATTAAAACTCACACGACCTGCAATTTAAGGGAAGACTGGAATTTTACTTTAAGGGCAGAATTGATTAGATTAGACAAAGAATGTTAATGATTTATTGTTTCAGAGTTCACTTCCATTCACAGACACCAACTGGCACAATTGAAAATAAATTATTTTTACAAACAGAAAGAACTAAAAACATTAAAGGGCAAGTGCAAGACAACTTATCCCTCTCTGATGTTTTTGGATCTGCCCAGAGCTGTGGGCTATTTCTCAACCATCTGCTCCTTACAGGAGGGGTGTTATCTGCTGAGGGCAACTCTTTCCAAACATTCAGCACTTGGCATTACTACAATAATCCTTTGAAGCTTTGCAGGGAAATTTCTCCCAGCTTCCAAGTTCTGCTTGCAGCTTTATTTGGAGTTATCATCCATGTTCTATCTTTGCACAGATAACAAATACAGCAATATAGGTTTAAAGAGCTTATTCAGATTTACCCTGCCTACTATACAGACAGGCTTAATGATACAGCACAGGATTCCTTTAATAAAGACTTCCATTTGTACTCAGCTACACAGTTTGAAAAAAAATGCTTATAAATAAATCAGAGTGGGCAATTTTAGCTTAATCAGATTCTTCTCAAGTTGTTTGCCTTAGTTTACAAAATACTGCTAAGAACCTCTATGTGTCAGAGCTGGGGATTCATTGTTCAGGACAGCATCCACCCAGCTGCTGCCCTCAGCTCTCAACCTCTGCTTCCCCCTTCACCTGCACCAGCATTCACACTAATTACTTGTTATTCTAAGTAGCCTCCCACAAGCACTGCCTTTGTTCTAGGTGATCCCCTTATTTACCTTTAAGGCTTGGATACAATTACAAAAAAACATGTGAGGCTTTGTCTGTAGCCAAACACTTTTAAAAGTCACAGGTGATTTCTCATTCCCAGTTCACACCTGAGCAGCTATGCACACATATTTGGAGTGTACATATTTTGGTAAACTGCTAGTTGCTGTTTCTGACTTAACTACCAAAAATACTTCAGGCTATTTGTCCTTTATCTGTAAAGAGCCTTCTATCCACTTGCCTGCTGCCCACTCTGTACTGATCCCCCAAATGCAATTTGAGATAACATCATCTTGTTAAATATTGTATAAGTCAAGTATTTCATATATGTTAAGTTCATTATATATGGTGCACTGTTACAGCGATCACACTAGCATGCTGGTGATAGAAGTAACAGATGAAGCAAGAAGTTCCTATGTTGGCTGCGTTTATGAGAAGATTCCCTTTTTCTCTGTCACATTTTTGCTAGGATTCCTGCTATGCATGCACACACATCTGAGCTCCACAGTCATGAACTTATGTAGATAACCATTAAACCACAACAATCTAGCTGCAGCACCCAGCAAAGACTTAGCATCAGCACAGCCACCTTCTTTTTTTTATCTGAATTGTTAAACTTGTGCCGTGAGTATTTTCAGCATTGCTCAAGTCCCTGCTTCTTGTCATCCAACACATCTGTTTTCTCCAACTTATCACTATGCTCTTCCCTCCCTAATAAGTCAGTCCTGAGTCAGCAAAAGCACTTCAACTCTGCACTTCAGTTCATTTAAAAAATAATTTAGTTCATTCATAGACAAAACTTAAGAGTGCACCTTAAATTGAACATGTATGTGAAAGCTTTACTGAACAGACTGAGATTACTAAACGGGAAATTAGCCTCGGAAAAAAAAAATTAAAACCAACCTTAGAGCTGTCTTTATTCACCATTATTCATAAAATCCGCTCTGGGAAATGCTGCACTGTGCTTCTATGTCTAAATGCTCCCTAGCATTGATACCATTGCTCCCTGTGTCGTGTTTTTAGTCAAACTTCAAACTGTTTACAACAGTAATGACTTGGACTACAGAATCATTTATCGAATCTTAAATTCTTTCTTCATGGGTTTTCCTTCCAAATATCCTGCTACTTAATAATATGCACATACACAATTATAGTTTGACTTCATATTCCACCATGGAGGTGTTTTCAGTAGTGAAAACCAAATATACATAACCTACGATTTACTTAATCAAAACTATTTTGATTTTAAAAGTCTTCTCCAACTTAGTTGATTCTATGATTCTATGTAAAACTGTTTAAAACTTTCTGAAATCACAACCTTCTGGATTGGCCCATATTCCATAAGCATGAGGCTGCCCTAGAATTACTTTCATTTTTCACAAATTCACTGTCACTGACACAACTCTGGCTGTGAGCACCGAGTACTGCTTTTGGCAAGCTGTCAGCTCTTTTAACCACAATATGTTCCAGCTCGGCTGTTGCTGTAAGAGGCTACAAGGCTGATAGTAGCAGAGGGAGCTGGTAGAGCAAAACCAGTGCAGAAAAGATGAAAGGTGTCTTTGCTCCAGCAGCCGTTATTGCCACCTCTCTGGGGCTCCTGCATGATCCATGATGAAAGGTGTTAATCCTCCTGTAAATACCACTCCATCATGACTAGCAGGGGTCAAAGAAGTAGCTCAGTGTTTAAATTTTGTCACAGCTTTTCACCTCTCTTTCTCTCTAGGTCCTTAGTTTGTAATTTGTTTTGTAAAATGCCTCTTTCTGTCCTTCTGTCCTCTTTATAAACATGCAGTTGGGGAAAAAATAAAACAAACTCTAAATTAATTTCAGTTGCATGCATCTTTTCAGGATAAAAATTGGTCATATCTGGTAACAAATAATCTTGATAGTTGAATAAACAATTAAGAAAACTCATCCTTAAAATTTCCCTGAATTCTTAGGAGAAAAGTACCTGCCTTGTGGAACTAGCAGAAATTCAAGACTCTGAATTGAACTCTCAGGCTGTGTCAATGCCTCTTTTCAGAGACTCACTGCCATCACGGAGCTGAACTGCTTCTTGCAATATAGAGGCTCAGGGGATGTGGGCAAAAGAGGACACAGGCTGCTCACATGACACTGCTGCGCCTCTGCCTCCGCTCCATGTCCTAGTACCTCCTTCTGCAGCGAAAGCTGCTCTGCAAAGAGCCATGCAGGGCAATACTTCCTGGAAGCAGTCCTCACTGAAGGTTTTACCCTTGCAGGTCTTCAGTGGACGGCAGTAAGCTGTGCTTTAGTGTCATCGTTTATTTGCTTGATTTAGGTCCACATACCCTACAGAGACCCTGAAACATTTCTGTGGACTACTGTTCACCTTGGTGTGTGCAAAGTAGGTCAGTGTCTGCACAATCTCAGGCCTACAAAGAAAAATGCTAGCATTACCAGATCTTAAATGCTGAGATTTGTCCTCTTTGTCCTCTCCTAGACATTTCAAAAGAACATCTCCAGCAAGCCTTGAAACTTGTGTGCTTGAAACTGCTCAATGTTTGCTAAACTCATTCTGCATTAACAGTGTCAAACACGACAAACTCTGATTGTTACCAAAGCAGAAGTATAAAACACTCTTGGTGATCTATGTAAATGACCAAAGGTGTATAGAATCATAGAGTGGTTTGGGTGGGAAGGGGCCTTAAAGCTCATCCAGTTCCAACCCTCTGCTGTGGGCAGGGACACCTTCCACTAGACCAGGTTGCTCCAAACCCCATCCAACCTGGCCTGGAACACTGCCAGGGATGGGACATCAACAGCTTCTCTGGGCAACCTGTGCCTGACCAAAAATTTTAAACAGGCTCTTTTCCAACATTTTTGTGCACATTAGAAAATAAACACAGCTAGGGGTCGGAGGACAGAAAGAGATTGATGCTTCATGACGCCGACCAGCTCTGGGTCTGTCAGGAATATAGGAAAGCACCCCTCCAACAACAACCACCTAGTGTTTTGTCTCTTTTCTTGCTGAAAACCTTCTCCGGTGTGCACCCGGGCAGAGGCCGCCCCGGCGCACAGGACCCACACTCCCCACTCCGTGCGCGGCCGTAGACACCCCACCACGACCCTCGGCGGGGCCGGGCCGGGCCGGCGGGGAGGCGGGAGCAGGGCCGGGCCCAGGGCCGAGCCCGCCGCGACCCCGCGGGAGGGGCTGCACTGAGGCGCAGGGTGGGCGCACGGAGCCTACACAGGAGCGCGGAGTCGCCGCGGGCAAGGGAGCTACCGTCGGTCCGCCCGGCGCGGCGGGGCCATGCCGGGGGTGTCCGCCGCAGCCCGCAGCCTGTGGCTGTGCGCGGTAGTGCTGGGGTGCCTGGCGGCGGCGCGGCCCCGCCACAGAGGTAAGCGGCACCAGGCATCGAACGGGGCAGCGGGCGCGGGAGGGCCCCGAAGGGATGGACGGCGGGCTCGGGAAGGACAGCGCCCGCCCGTAGCCCCGCCGGTCCTGAGACAGTCCCGGGCAGCGGCCGGGTCAGGCCCTACCCGGCGCCTGCACATTGCTTGTGTCCCGGGTCCGTGGTAACGTGTAACGAGTTTCACGGGAGGAGGCTTGCTTAACATTATGAACTGACAGAGTAGGAATTGCCATTGTCACAGTGCACCTGCAGGGAAACCTATCAGAGAAAAAAGGGCAGGACTGTGAATGCTCCCACTCTCGTGCTTGCTGGCCGTTCCCCCTGTGCTGGAGCACACGCAGCCGTACCTGGGACCTCAGCGAAGCGCTGTGCACAACCTGTGCAAAATCCGTGTCTGTGTTGCTTCAGGTTTCTGAGAGAAAACCCTCATAAAGGGTAGGTACTGTAGTGTATTACATTGACAGCTGCGAGCATAGATTTTACTTTATTTCAAAAGCTGCACAACTTATTTACTACCTGTGGCTGTGGGTGGACGTGGGTGGTTCAAAAGTGTTTTAACACCCGTTCAAGTAAGGTTATTTTGGTTCTATTTTCTTCGTTGTTCTGTGTGCAGGAGTATTCATATACCTCATTCATTGCATTGCAGTGCTGTCATTGCTACATTTGTGATCATTCTCTTGTATGTCTTGTCCAAGCAAACTGTATCTTTTGGGTAACTCGTTACAGTCATTTTTACATTTTGCTCTAAAAAGTGTTACCCGAAGTAATTATTGCGGGATAACTTCTTCCAAAAAGTGAACTATCTATTCTAGTGTTTTGGAAGCATTTAAATCCACAAACACATCTAAGCCCTTTTGTTAAATGCAATCCTTGTTATGATTTCTGTCTTGGGATACTGATACAATGCATCCTTTGCAATCAATAGATGCAAGAAAAAGCATCTTCAAGGTCTAAGTGGGCACTTACTAGTGGCACTATTTGTTTGTCTATAGCCATTTGCCAGACCCTTACCTTTGGGGAGCAGGAGATAGAAACCAATAAGCTATTTGTGCCTGAGGAACTGAGTTGCCAGTCCTGCCACTCTGCCTGTGCCAATGTTTTCACTCTGTGAGTGGCTCCTTTTTGTGCCTCTGCTCTGGTTGGCACTCAGCAGTCCTTAGTACCTGACTGCTCCATAATGCTGGAAACATTATGGACAGGTGGAAAATCATCAGCCCCTCTCTACATACAGATTGGAATAGACATGCGAACAGGGAATTGAAAAGTCCTTCCTTTGCAGAACTCATTTTCCACGCGAGTGCCTCAGAGGCAAACATCAGGAGCCACTTAATTATCTCTTTGCGGAAAGTGAGCTCCTGTGTTGATTTCAGGAACCTCTTTTGGTTAATGTGTGGTGTTCAGGGTGCCTATTACCTGACTCAGCTTGTGGCAGTAATGGTACAAACCCCAATGTGTTGGCAGTTTTCAGCATATCTGTCCCAAAAGGCTCATCCACCAGCACAATGCTATCCTTGTATTTAAGATGTTGCGAAAGTTGAATTCTTTTCCAGCTTAGGGTCACATTTCTCAGTATCTGGCAGGACCAAGTAGGTCTGGGATGGATCCAGACAAAGCGCACTGTATTAATCCTGAAGACAGCCAGGAAAAAGCAAATATGGAATGAAATTCTTCTTGGCATGCAGAGACCTCAGTTAAAGAACAGTAGAGAGCCATATGCAGTACACAGAGTGTTTGTGGAAAGCACAGAATGTGATAAGTAAACTCAAATTCTAGGGAAACAGCTGCGATTTTCCCAAGACAGATTGCTTGTTCAGCAGACATAATGCAGCATCTGGACCTCCAAACAAAATGGGACAGTTTGGCTTTCTAGAAATAAGTCTCCTCAGACCCTATTGCACGTGTTGTCTCTAGGATAAGTTAAACCAATGGTGCACAATCTACAACGGAGCCTGAATGTCATGGCCTTAATTCTTAAGTACTCATTTGTGTATTTTGTAATTAGAACTCCATTATTCTAAAGGAAATATTTAAAATTAAAGCTATTAAATCACTAATACATTTAAAGGTCTGAAATCATTAAAAAGAATATTCCCATAAATATGGAAAGATTTCTTTAAGAATAATCATACTTAAATGATAAATTCAGTTACAACTAACATGACTTTTCCATTTTGTGTCAGAAAATGTTAGAACATTTTGTGATTGTGGGTGAAGTCGAGTCAACAGTAGCACATACATCTTGCTATTCTTTAATGTTCCTTCCACACTATGCAGAGCTGGCAGGTAAGCTTGTCCTGTGGGTAAGCTTCCTTAGTGCTATCAAGTCACCAAACCGTGTTTTCAGTTCCTTATTTTATCAGCCTTGACTCATTGGGCTGAACATTGCTGGGTGTTAGACACAGGTGAAGCTTTGCTGGAGCACTGCAGCAAAATCAGTTTTTGTAATTCTGAGAATGAAGTTTGAAAGAATGCTTATGTCAAAAATTATTTTTTTATACATCCTGAATAAGGAAATCATGATGTGAGTGGAAAATGTAGCCAACATTCCTCTTAAATGCCTTTGATTTGAGTAGGGATCTGCGGGGGCAACTTTTTCCACACAGAACACAGCACTAATTTCTTGTCTATGTGTCCTTAATGATGCTTATGATAGTTTTGTTTCTGCTGTTGCTAGACAGCACATCAGTTACACTCAGATGTGTAATAAAATAATTTAATTTTTATTATTTATGATGACAGTTTTCAGTTTTTTTGCAGAATGGGAAAGAAAAGGAAAGAACGAAAAAAATCAACCAGTGTTAAGCAACATGAGACTTCCAAGCATTAACTATGGAAATATTAGCATACAGCTAAAAAGGAAGAAAGAATACACAAAGAGCTGGGTGACATTTTAAAGTGATGGGCATAATAATAAGAAACATATAATTTGATCTTTAGTAGGATTTATGACCCTATTACAAGTGAGTACAGTCAGCTGTTTTAAAGATCTATCAAACAATGATCTAATTAAACTGTGGAAGAAAAGAAAATAAAGACTTGTCTCATGTTTAGCTTGATTTATTAATGGAAAAGGTAACGGATATTAATTGTATCAGGAATGATTCAGTTACAGGAAAGAAAACTTATGAGAGTGCTGTATGAAAGGGAGAATTCCAATAAAACACAGAAGACAGGAAGAAACTTTCACCATGGTTCATAAACTGCTTGTGCTGTAGCTTGCTTGGAAAACATTACAATAACACACATGACTGACCTGTGATTCTTCAAGGGCTTTTCTTCAAATTCCGATGAAGGATAAACTCTTGATAAGGTCAAATTGTGTGGACACAAATAGCCTACAGGCTAATGCCAGCATCTTAGAAGCACAGTGGTGGCACAGTCAATCACATTGACTTCCCTGGGCCCTTAGAGGATAGAAGATAGAGCTATTGTTACCTGCCTGGGTAGCCTAAAGCCATATCAGATTAACTCTTCAGTTTTTGAAAGACTATAGGATTCTCATACTGTGCTTGAAAGAGATTAAGTTCATTCTTTCACTAGAGCATCTTCTCCATTTAAAGGAAGGGAATTACCTGATTCTGAAACTGTTGTGTAATTGTGGTTATCATGTGATATAGTCGTGGACAATGACATTAAAAATGTGGAAGAGTGCATTATTGCATCCTTAGAACCAAAATATGTTTGTAATCAGTGACACAATTACACCATGTAAAATATGGGACAAATACAGAAAAAAAAACAACAGAAAAACTTGGGACTGAAAATTGAAGATCTGAATGTTAATATTAAAAATGTAAAATTATAGAGCTTTTTTTATATCTGCATTTTTAAAAAAATCATTAATACCACAGTAGAGGCAAGAATTAACTGTCATTAAACGTAACCTGAAGTTCCTCTTGCAGTCAGCATCAGTTGGTATCCATTTTTAAAACCAAGGTCAACAGATAGGTGTATTTTAAAACATCATTGATTTATAAACATTCTCTTACATTATTTTCCCCTACTTTAATTTTCCAAACACATTCCTCGGCAAGAATGGCTATTCAGTATGTTGCATGCAAATATGCCATTAGCCAAAACCCTTATTGTCCCTGGCTTTGACAGGAATCAACTCAGCTGCCAGATCAGGCTCAGAAATTCTGGCATTCTGCTTTATTTTTGAATGAGTTTGCATTTAAAACAAACTGTTATAAAGAGCTTTTCAGATTCTCATCCTTCATTGTATCTATCAATAACTTTTAAGGTTTTTTTTGAGCCCACAAAGTCTCTTAGATGTCCAAAAATATGTTTGTCAGTTGTATTTGCCTCATTAAAATTTAGCATGCCAGTTATGCAAATTGACTTAAAAGGTATACCTAAGTATCTGCCCATTTCAGTACACAGTTCTGCTGTGATGCACATGTATACATGCAAACTGTATGAACTACCTCTCATCCATTTGAAGGAATTCTTCATTTCATGCATAGAAACCCTGTAAAATAGTAGCCTGTTTCCAAAAGACCTTTTGATAATCCTTACTCCTCTTGAGGTAAGATTCTGATTCTATCATAATATCTGACACCCCATTTTTATTCAGGTTGTTAGATTTCATAAACATCAGTGGAACTAGAAAGTCAAAATCCAGAGAGAAAGTGTAAACATATTCCCTTCCACCGTTTTTACATCTAGGGTAAATGGCTAATGTGATTATTAGTTTGCATTTATTGTCAAGTTAAAAAAAGGAGAGTTATCACATGATGAATTCTGTTACATTTTTAAAGTCCCAACATACCTATTTGTTACTATGGCTTCAATGTGTTTTTCGGTAAAAGTAGCTTCATGTTGCAATATATCCTTACAAATATCCATTACAAATGCTTATCTTTTCTAACACACTTGTTAGGCATTCCACCTTGATACTTCAATTACTCTTGCTCCACAGTTCTTGAATGCTCTCCTGGTGGGCATCAGATTCTGCAGAGCCCTTACCGAAGCATTGATTTTGATTCATCCCACCTCCAGCAATCAGCTATTCAGGATTTAATATGTGACCATTACCTAACACCAGGATGGTACCGCTTTATGATATTTGATAAGCCTGCTGAGATGCCAACCAAGTGTGTGGAGGTATTGTTACAACTAATTTGATTATGAAAATATATATTTATTTGTAAGAATTTTCCAGTAGGGTGCATACAAATAAAGAAGATGGTTGTGGAGACTTATGTAGAGGAATACAGAGTACCTGTTATCTCTAAATAGTTGCGTATAATAAAGTGTATTAACTGGCCAATTAAGTCTTAGCACTGAAAATTTTATATTGAAAGGGCAACAGCAGAGGATGATAAATTACATCCCTTTTAGACACTCAAAACCTGTCATTTGTAGTCCTTGCTAAAGATGTTCTCAGTGGTAGCGTAGCAGCCATATCACGTTCTAAAGCTGCAACTGTGTGATGGTCAGTCTGTTAAGAAGGCCATGCAAAAGCTGTGTAAACACCTGCAGCTGCATGCATGACTCCAGTAATTGTGGAGCTTTTAAAGTGATCATATTAGAAGAGATTATTTCTAAAATGACTTGGACTAACAGAGCTAACTGAAGATTAGTTGTCTTGTCTTCTGCAAGTCCCCTAAGATTCAAAAATTACTTGGAATATTTAATACCTTAGAATTGCAGTCTTGTAGTGCTTTATTTTGGAGCATACCAACATCTCTGTATGGTTATATTATAAGAAGATACATCTTTGTAGTTTCCTATTTTAAAACATTTCCTTCTTCAAAAAAAAGATAAAAATGTCATTAGAGTATTTTACCCATGATTCTTCTCATTAATTGAAATTGCCTGGTCACAGTTTCTTTAAAAAAAAAAAAAAAAAAAAAAAGAAAAGCTCAACAATTAAAGGCTTTAAAAGGAATACCAACCAGTTAAAACATATTAATAAAATTAAATTGAGTTTATAGCAGCCCTTCTTTTTTTAAATTATGTATTTTATTAAATCTTTACATTAGTATAAAGCCATAAGTACCTTTAATGTGCAGCTGACCAAAGGACTCAGAAGGACGTGTTACAGAGGCTACTGTTATCCAGGCTTTTATACTGCAAAAACCTAGCAAAAAGTATGATTCCTGAAAGAATTTCTTTCACTTAGATTTAATATGAGCAGAGTAATTAATATTGTGGTTTAAACCCAGTCACCCGCACAGTTTCTACTCCCCCTACCCTTTCTTTTGTTCCCTCCCCCCCCACTTCCGGAGGGATGGGGAGGAGAATCAAAAGAACATAACTCCCACGGGTCGAGATAAGAACAGCCCAGTAGCTAAGGTATAACACAAACCACTGCTGCTACCACCAATAATAATAATGATAAGGGAAATAACAAGGGAAGAGAATACGATATCACCCACCGAAATGAGCCCGACCGAGAAGAGAGTGCCCTTCCAAGTAACTCCCAGTTACCTCCTGGGCATGACGTGTTGTGGTATGGAATACCTCTTTGGTTAGTTTGGGTCAGGTGTCCTGTCTCTGCTTCCTCCTGGCTTCCCCTCCTCCCTGGAAGAGCATGAAACTCACAAAGTCCTATGGCCAGTCTAAACATTTGAGCAGTAACTAAAAACATTGGTGTTATCAGCTCTGTTCCCAGGCCAAAAGTCAAAACCACATCACTGCACCAGCTACTAAGAAGGAGAAAAAAATGACTGCTACTGCTGAACCCAGGGCATTAAATCATTGTATTTTCTCAAAAAGGATACTTTTATGCAAAAAATGAGCATGATAAACCAGGGGAAGAACCAGTGTGTTTTGCAGAACAGAGGTTAGACTAGCAAAAACTACCTCAGATCATCCAGGAAAGTTACAGAAATCTGACCAAAGTTCTCAATCAGTCCGTAGTAAGTATTTGTTAAAATAGGCTACCATGCTGACATAGAGGTGCCCATATAATTACAGTTGGAAAGAGATTAATTCAAAACTTACTTAGCAAATGAAATTTATGCATTGGCATCTGCTTTGCATCTGTTGACAGAAACAAGGCATCTGTTTTGAAATCTCAGAGTCAAAACGTTAAAACCAAACTAAAATGGATGTCTTGTTTTGGAATTTTCCTCCTTTCTTTCCTTTTAGGAGAACTTTTATTGTAGCTGTATTTAATCCTTGTCAGAGATTTAGACTCTCTTAAACAATCCATCATATTTCTGTCTATTTCTCATTAATTCTATCTGCTGGATTGATGGTGGGCTCAGATATTCTAGGATTAAGAAAGAAAAGTATTCTTTTGAGATGAGTAATTGCTTAATGATTCTGCAGTTACTCTTTAGACCATGAGATCTAAACACAAGAGTATCCAAGACTTTATTATCAGGTTAAAGAAAGGAATACTTGAAGCAATGTATGAAGGTTCTCTAAATCTCACAATTTCAGATTAGTTTTCATGTAAATATTTGCCAGATGCTGGCTTTAACACTGTGTCCTTCTAGGTGTTTCTCTTCTGTTTGGTTTCTGAAGCACGTGAAAGACAGGAGGTGATCTTTAACTCATTCTGATAACCCATTAACCAGATTCCTCCGTTGTCTCCTTTTCTCAGGATTCATTTTTCTCTATTTCACTGGTAAACTCTTCTATCTGCTAAATCAGATTTACACTACAGTTACCCCAAGTGGTACTACTGTTGTGACCAGCATGGCAGCTGACTTGACCTGAAGACCTCACATAGCCACCTGCAGTGGTGAGGGGTGAAGGAGACTATTCCACAGCAGGCTTCTCATTCCATGAGGAAAAACATTGAACAAGGCTTTTGTTCTCAAGAGGGGGAACAGCAGCCATCTTAAATCACCTGTTCAATCAGCATCTGAACCACAGACCTTGTGGAGCCTATTGCTTTGTAAACAGCAAAGGATTTAGGGTTGCTACAGAGCCACTGTGGTTGCTACAGGGGGGTGCTACAAGCATATCTGTTTCTAAAGGTGGGGAATTGAAAGACAGACAGGGCTTATCAGGTGTCTCACATTTTTGGTGAGGCCTGAAAGTCAGTAACCTTGCATCAGCTGGCCACATCTCTTAGAAGAAATCCAGCAGGTTACTTTAGCCTTCAGTCTGTGGCAAAGGGCAAATGAAATATGTCAGCTTTAGCACCTTTAGTTGATCTACCCCGTATTTGCTGTGCTCTGGTAGCATTCACACAGTTTCTGTGGGTTAATGGTTGTAGAGTAATTCACTAAGCCGTAACACAACTGTTAGGTTTTTGGGGCAAGATACTCAGGTGTGGCTCCTGGTTAAGTTCTTCAGATAGTGAATTATAGCCTGTCTTTAAAAACGCAAATTCATTGGACTCAGAGAAGGACTTAAGTTTCTTTTGTGTGTATTTGTATTTAACCTTGAAAGTAGTCAAGCCCTCAGTTATACTGTCTAAACTTTGCTAAAAGCTCATTCAGGAAATTAAATGGATATATATGCATCTCTCATTAAAGCACAGCTACAGTTTGATAAAGCATTAACCATTTTCTGATGTTTTTCTCTGGTGCTGAAGATGAATCACTGCGGTACTCAAGCCCCTGTCTGGTTGTCTCTGAGGGAGTCAGAATCCATGCCTCGACCTGGTGAGATCAAACACTTAACAGCTTGCGCTACATGGCAGTTTTTCTTCAGCACTTCAAAAGACTGCTGTCTTTTCCGAATCCCTGTCAGTGTGAGGAACTGTGGAGATTTCTTTGTTTACTTACTGCAGCCCACCCAAGGATGCATGGGGTATTGTGCAGAAGGTGAGAAAATGCGTGCTCTAACTCAGTAAAGTGTGTGTGTTTATGTGTAGGTGTGTTTCTCTGGTATTTGGCTGAACAGAAACATCTGGAAATACTTAGATATGTTAAAATTCCTTGCAATCCTTATTTATAATACTGATATAAAAGAAAAAATATTCAGTATGGTTAGGTGGGTTTACACCACCCCTTTCTAACTTACATTTAGTATTCTGGTATTGTTCAAAGCCTACACACTTAACCTTTGAAATTTTCCATACAAGGTGGGGATATAAGATGCATCTAGAAGTTGAAATTCAGAGTACTTAACAATGGCACTTATACTTTGCAAATACCCGTTACTGAATATGTGTACAATTGCGTGTCAGGGTAAATTTTGTTTAGTAATCAAACTCTATTTATATCAATTATTGTTTAGCACTATTAGAAGTATTTTTTTTACTGTAACTTTAATTTTTCTGGAGAGCATATAGATTGTTGCTAGAAGAAAATTCAACACAGAAATGCTCTACTGATACACACTTTATTAGTACTATGAGAAAGAGCTTGAGTCCTTTTGCAATTTCTTGCTTTGTCTTGGACCCTTGTGCTGCAAAAGTGTGTTGGTGTTCACAGCTCAAAAGTTCTGTATTTCATTATCCATGTCACATGTTTTAGATAACTAAAGGATGGCATGGTTAAATCCTCACAGTTATAAATACTGTGAAGCAGTGACAAATAAGTGGATTAGGAAATTCTTATCAGCGTGTATAACATACCCTTGTGAAAATACTAACAATATTTCTATGCATCATATACTGTATTGCTCTTAAGTCATATTCTGTATTACCAACTGCTTTCAAAAGCTTAATAACAAAACTCTCAGTGGGTTTTCTGGTGCTTTATCGATCCGTCAGTAGACCTTTAGATCCTGTTGCTAAGGCATTCTGCAAGGTTATTGACAGTAAAAAAAAATGCCAGAAATGGGACATTTCAGCACGCAAGTGACTGAGGCAGTGGAGAAATTCTGCGCTGTAGGACTTTGCATTTGCTTTGGATGATAGCTCATGAAGAGAAAGAGGATATAAAAAACATAAGCAGTGATCTAGCAAGTTTTTACTGCCTCAAAACAAAGGAGGTAAGAAACATAACTGGTTTGGCTCTACTGAATACTGTAAATCTGAAACGCATTTTGAGTTTAAAAGCCCTCTTTTAGAATGATGTTTTCATAAGAAGTGCATTGTACTGTTTTTTAACATATAGTACATTTTTACATGTACTGTTCTGCTTTTTACATATAGATTACCATGTGTACTGTGTTTTCTCTTTAACACTCAGTAGCTGTAAACACCTGATGCAAATTTTCAATCTCTATACGCTAAGGAATCCAAGCATTGTAACGCTTCAGTGGAACATCAAAAATCTGCTCTTCATTCTTTGTGGTAAATGGGCTTTTCAGTATTGCTGATGCCCTTTGGACTTAATTTGGGTGGAGTGGCTAACCTCTTTCTACTCCTGGTACAAATGCATTGGTATTTTAATGTTTAATAAAAGTTCCACTTGACTTCTTTTTTGTTTGTTTTATAATATTGAAAGTACCAAACAATAGGAATGCGAAAGCACTTTCTTTTTTTAGGCCCATGTGAGAAAGGTGATTTTTTTCAAGGAAGGTTTATACTGTACTTGGCTGTCAGGAGCTACAGTTAATGAATGAGCATTCAGATTGTGGATTTGGGGAGACAAAATATATATTCAACAGAATAATTTAATTCCTTTTTATTCACTAACAACGTCTCTAAATATTAGCTGGGTACATCTGCAGTAAAAGTTGTGGAGGTGGTGGAATATTCGGTACCCTTCCTCCCAGGTGTAGCTAATCTACTTGTGGTTACCAACACAAGGCTTTGTACTGACTGCTGTGATAATTGTGTATGGATCCGATTACAAGATTGCTTCTGTTCTGCTAGTTTAAACTTCAATTAGTGCCTTGTGATACTTGGTGTATTTTTAACACAGGGCAGTAATTTAAGAGGATTGGTGTACATACTCTGTATGCATGTGAATATACATTTTAAGAGCAATTTATAGTTGTTTCAGATGCAAAGGCACAGACCTGTGATCCTGAGGGAAGGGAAATTCAAGGCGCCTGTAGCAGTGAGTATTTTGTTTTGATTTTCAAGATTTTCTATGCATCTGTGACACAATAATGTCAACACTTTGTCATATTTTGTTTTGAATAAGACCATGTTCATGTTCTCAACAGTATTGCTCAGTCTGCTGCAAAATGAGCAGTTTGGAGGTAATTTCAGACCTTGGTTTACAAAAGTACTTTCTCAGCATGATGTGCAGAATAAATACCAGAGTGTTAAAAAGTAATTTAAAAAAATGCTGATTTACAGATTACCTTGATTCTTTGGGAGTCAGGTATAAGATGAATCTACAGATCATACTGTTGCTTTTTGGTTTTCCTGTTTCCTCCTTCTTCCTCCCCCTTCCTTTCTTCGTAAGTAGAGAAGATATCCTTCTTTCAGACAAATTCCGCTGCAGGCTACTCTCTCCTGTTAGGTAAAATAATGAATTGTATTTTATTCTCTTGGCGGGACTTTTTATTTGCGTGGTTGTTCTTGGTTGATTTGGTTTGGTGTTTTTTGTATCCCTGCTATTCAGCACCTCCCTGTTGGCTAGAATGTAATCAAAGACTGATGAAGAGTTTTTTCTGCTTTTAATAATTAATACAAGGAATATACCAATTTTCTGATTCTCTGAGAAACTATGTAATATTTCCCTATATGAAAAAAAGGTAAATATTATTTGGCAAATAAATATTTAAATATTATTTGGTAAATATGGCAAAATATATGTCAGTGTCATTTCATCCAGTACTGGTTTTGCAAATAATAAAAAGCACAAACCACACTTCTGTTTGACTAGGTAACATGGCTTCTTCATTGTCTCCAGCTGTGTCACCACCACTACCAGCCATTCCTGAAGTTATAGCAGAGCTGATCAAAGGCAGCATTTATCTAAGGTGTACCTTTGGCATTCCTTCTGCAAACAGCTCAGTTGGATTCACTATAACTTGGTCAAGACTTTCTCCTGAAGGTATCAAAGAAGAACTGAAACATGAAACAGCATTTCATGGCTTCTCACTTCTAGAGTTAGATGGGATAAGCATCAGACTGGGAGACAGAGTATGTTAAAATGAAATTATTATCTCTTTATATCTTTGTGAATATGTCTCAGTAGACGCTAACAGTTGCTAGAGGCAGAGTTCCAGCACCTTGCTGGATAATTTTTCTTGACAGGCGCGTAATGCCTCTAGTTGTTGCTTATACCAACAGTGCCCATATGAATGTGGAAATACCATGGAATATATCAGTAACTATTATTGCCATTAATGTTTTGAGACTGACTGTCTCAGGACAGTATAGTGTGCATCTAGGGGATAAATGTTTATTTGAGTTGCATCTCCTTCATTCTGTATTGTGTTTTTCTTTGATACTTTAAAGAGGATCTTTGCATGCAACTGCATCTAAGTGAGAGGCTGTAAGAGCCAGAGGTTGTGAGAAGCTGTGTTGTTGATTAATTAGATAGATTTCTTTACTCTGACTCAATAATGCACTGCTGCTTGATGGTTTTGTCTCTAGGATTGGATTTAAATGGTTTTATCTCTGCCACCAAAAGGCATAGGAGTACCTGCATAACCTTGTGTGATAGCAGAATCAAGACCTGGGCTTGAGAAGCTTAAGCATTGAAAAATCTATAAGCTCTCTACCTGTATATACCAAAATATAGGTTATTTTTTCTTGGCCAAATAAAAACACAGAAAAGCACATGGTGGCATGCATGTATGTTCAAACCAAAGCCAGACTGCTTGCATGGCCTACGGACAACAATAGCAATTGCTAATCCTCAAAAATCCTTTGGAGGCTACTTGAATAGCTGCCTGACAGTGTTAGTTCAGTGGCATTCAAAAGTAAAGGCGCAGTCATAAGCATGCGAGGAAAAGGTCTTGATTTGTTTCTCTGTTTTCCTTAAGGTACACTGTTGGTAACTTTTGGTGGAAACAGATGACTGGGCCTCATGAAGCTATCAACCTGACCCATGATGGCTGGGTTTTGTCTTCACATGATCACTTCATATAAAAAATGTATTCTGTTTTGCTGGTTTTGCCCTACAGGTGTACTGTAGCAGTTCTGCTTTTTTTGTGGAGAAGCCAGATATTCAAAGTTCTTCTGTTGAGAGCAAGGAATTTTTTGCTGGCATTAAGGTAATTTTGAAAGAAAATGTTTTAGTTAGTGGGAATCTGAGTGTTGCTACAGCAGTCAGTCCTCTGAGTAGAAGGCACTCAGTATGTATTAATTGTAAATTAATAGCATATGTTGTTGGTTATAGTGAACCTAAATTTGTCAAAAAGCATAAGAGTCAGAGTTGTCTCTGTGCTTATCAAGGTGCAGGAAAGCTGAATTGGCAGCTCACACACGTAGTGAAAGACTTGGTTTCCAGCAGAAATCAGATCTGAGCCCTGATACACTGTTATCCATTATGTTTAACTGCTCCTGCTTTTTCTGGCATGATTTTGGATTATGCCAGCAGGCTCTCCCAGCACATGGTTCACAATATAGCCCAGGCCAGGGCCCCTTCCAGCTGGCCATAGGAGTAAGGGAAGGATGAGGCTGACCTGGTCTGGGCTTGAAGATGGAAACTGGGACATGAGCTGTGACATGCCACTTAGTCAGAGGCCAAGCTCCAAACTTACTTTAATTCCTGCTGTGGATATAGCTGTAGGGACCCATTTGCTGGCTAGGAATGGCACCCAAATCCCAGAAAGATATACTGCATGTCATTACATGTTTGGAATAAACCTGTTGACTTAAGGATTTGCCCTTCATAAAATTAAGCCCGAGCTTATGTTTCTGCAGGATTATGGCCCAGATTTATCTCATGTAAGTGTGAATATGTAGTGTACAGTGAAATGTGTGAATGCATTATTTTTGTTGTCCTGTGAAGCTGTGCTCAGGATTTCACCCAGTGTACAACACTCAGTTGTAGGCCTTTGTGACTGATTTCTAGTGCATTTTTGATTATACATCTATAGTGAGCTGTGTTGTAAGTTTATGGAGAGGAACAGCAAGAGAAATATGGTACTTCCAAATTCTTTTGGGACATTGCTGCCTGGAGGTAGCTTCCGATTCCCTTCCTCTCAGACAATACAACTTATTGTATTGTATTTTAGCTTTCAGAAGTTACACAGAGAATACATTTCTGTGGTGCTCCTTACCTTCCTAGCTAGCCTTTACTCTTGCCTTTTCCTTATCCATGTCCCTTATTCCCACCTCTTCAATATTCTTGTATTTTCTGTAATGTGTCCTCATCTTTTCCCCAGTATGCCGCTGTGCTTCAGACCATCTAAATAAGCCTGATGAAATGGAGCAAGCCATGCATCATGCCATTCCATCTCTTTAGGTTTTTATACTGTATTCCTGCAGCAGTGCTGTAGTGCTGTAGTTTACTATCAAAGCTTGCGTTTTAAGTACATTTTTTTCTGTGCTAGATACATCCAGAAACATATGATATATCAGAAAATGGGAAGGAATACAGACTGGCAATAGAAAGTAGCATTCCTATTCCTTGTCCTGAGTTTAGCCAGCTTGAAGGTGACTGCAAAATCTCTTTAGCATTGCATACTGTTGATGAAGGTAAGTATTATACTGATTTTTCTTGCATTTTGTATATTTAATGTATTTTTCTGATTATTCCTACCAGTTTTGTTCTTTGGAGAAGCTGTTACATTGTAAATACTTAAAAAAATGTTAAAACAAAATATTCACAGGCTATATGTACTGCTGATGCAAGTATGGGAGAATGTGTCCATAATCCATTACTTGTGAGCAGGTGGTTTTGGCACCTATGAATATTGGACCTATACTCTTTGAGTAGACAGAATGCCCAAATGCTTGCAAACTTTATAATTTGGTTCATTTTGTTAACCTGTTGTGTTGCAAATGTTGTATATGCTGCAGTCAGTAAGTCCTCATTTTTACTATTACTACTATTTTCTGTTGTACTTTCTCAAGCCCAAGTCCTGTGAATCCCAGGAGGAGCTTTGCCTATGCAGACAACCGTTTTTATGTCACATTAGCAAGCCTATCATGATTTCCGTTTGTCTAGCAAAATGTAAAATTCAGAACCATTTTCTTGGGTGTGTGTGTATGAAGATGTAGAGAGGGGAGTTTGCATGACCAGACACAAGAAAAATGCATAATTATTTTAATTTATTAAAATATTTGTAAACAAGTTAGTAACTATATTAACTAGTATACAAAATGTGACTTACTTAGCAGAAAACTCACTAATGATGTGTTTTTATTAAAACAGGTAAAGAGCAGTTAGGTTTAAACTTGGCTCTTTCCTCCTGTCATGTGGATCTTCTCCAGAAGCCCTGCAATAACGGAATTTGTAGTCAAGCTGTAATTTATTTCACTGCTGTGACAGACTTTATGCAGGATGGAGACAGAATTACCAGAATTGCAGTCGAACCTATATCCAGTGAGAATTTCCTGTGGAATGGCTATGTTCCAGACAGCACACAGGTTGAAAATCTTCATGCTAAGCTCTGTAAACTGCCCAGACATGTGGCTGATGTTAATGAAGCTTCTATTCCAGTTACAACTTGCTGACTCACATCAAGATTTCTAAGTGGTCAATTTTCCATTGTTTTGTTTTAATTGAACTGCTGCATTTTCGTTTGAATTATTATTATTATTTACATTTTAATGTTGACACAACAGCTCAGATTGATTATAATATTTATTAGAGTGTAAACTAGTATCATAAAATAAAATGCCTGAGTCTGTCTAGTTCCTAATCTGACATTGCTTACTATGTGCTTCTTGTTTTGAAGATTAGAGTAAAGGATCTACCCACTGCCTACTGCTACTCATTTACTGACCCTCATATAATTACATTTGATGGAAGGTAATCACTAGATTGCTGCTGTTAATTTTAAGTGTGTTGGCATTTTTTTTGCAGGTGGTTTGGGGGGGGGGTTTGATGTATTATCTATCTGCTTATTTATCTGTATTGGTGATTCAAGTTAATTGCACTCTGTATTTTACATTCTTTCTTGGATGATAAGAATAGCTATGCCAGTTATGATGATGTTTGAAATATTTGTATTTCTAAATGCAAGTTTTGGGTTTGTGACAACAGGGTGAATCAAATGGATTATTTAGAGGAGTATGCTGAGAGAGTAGTGGTTGCTGTACAGTCCGTTGACTATGAAAGAAATGTTCTTAAATATGAACAATGATAAAATGATTGATTAGACAAAACTGTTTTAGTGCAAAAGTGCTTCCAATCTACAGCATAGTTTCCCTATTCCTGGGTGTCAGTATCTGAATACTTGCAAGGATCAAGTTGCTAGAAGTTATCTGCTGTCTGTTTAACATTGTGCTGAGTTCATTAATAGCACTGAAAGCGACCTATTCACTGCCATTACTTGCACATCACTGACATTCACAAAGTGAAGACAGCTTCCTTGGCCAAAGCTGGCATGTTTTTGGTATGCTTCTGTCTTTCAGAGTGTTTCTAATTCATGGAAGGTGTCAAAACAAACACATGCTTGGGACTTAAGTACTTCTGCTGAGCAGAGAATGTAATTCTTCAAGTGCCAGGGTGAAGAGCAGGATATGTGGCCTCAAAATAAGAATGTTCAGCCCACAACTCCATTCTTCTGTGAAATTCATAACAGAAGGGAAAAAACAAGTTGTAATTGCTTCTCTGATAGTGCTGTGACTAGTAATAACCCCAGTAACTTTGTTATTATTATCATGATCTTGTGGTTCCTCCTTCAGTGGAAATTCTAGGGATGGCCTGACTGAGCATTTTAACCATTATGATCAAGCTTTCTTAGGAAGAAATGATTTTTCTGTGATGTGCTCCAGCTGGAAGCATAATGCTGAGGGGAAAGAACTTTCTTTTAAAGGATGAAGTCTGTTGCTATTTAATTTCACAAATTGAGGAAACATATATTAAAGGAACTGCCCTTGTTGAGTCTCGAGTAATCCTACGCAGTCCCAGTAGGGTAGCCATCTGCAGTGAATCGCCATTCTGCAATTAACTGTCAAATGCTGTTTATAGCTAAAAGGCTGTTAACTTGTAGCAAAAGCTGGGATTTTTTTCTTTATTTCCTCCCCCTCCTTCTCACCACTGAATCATTAAATTGGCCATTTTAACCTTGCTACAGGGAACAGGTGCCTAACCCTAAGGAAAAAAATTAAGTCCTTATTTATGGGATTCTATCCATGGTTTTCATCTTAAATAATTTTCAAATCTTTGTGAAGAAGCACTCCCTATCTCCGTCTTATTAAAACAGACCTTTTTAAAAGTATGTGACTTTCTGAATCATTTTGTAAAGGGTATTTACATGGTTTTCAGGAGCTGCCTTCCCCCCCTCCCCCCCGCACACTGCTCTGTATCTTATTGCTCTTGCTGCCTAGGTGCACAGCTGTAGAAACACAAAGGTTGAGAAGTACCCTCAAGTTCCCTTTCATAAGCACTGTTAAAAAAACCCTAAACAGAATGGCAGTGGCTTCATGGTTGTGTTTCCATTCACAACCATTGTCTACATATACTCATTATCATTCTTTTATTCCTTATTTTTCTGCTATAAACAGGTTTCAATTTTTTGATTTAGATCTCCACAGAGGAAGTCATGATGGTGTTTGTTCAGAACAAAGTAATGTATTGGTTTGTTGGCTGAACTGTTTGGGTTTTCTGATGCAGCAAAATAAGTTGCACTATCAAAGTTCACCAAATATTAGAAGTCTGTTATAAGATGAAATTGCTGACATGTTATACCACTATTTCATAACCAAACTGATATCACATGCTCTTCTTTTGATTCCAGGCCCTATGACAATTTTAAAAAGGGAACATTTGTTCTTTACAAGAGTACGTCTCGAGATTTTGAAGTTCATGTTCGCCAGTGGGACTGCGGAAGTCTTCACTACCCAGCATCCTGCAACTGTGGCTTTGTTGCCAAAGAAGGAAGTGATATAATTGCATTTGACATGTGCAGTGGTCAGCTACACGAGACACAGCCGCGCTTATCTGTAATAACTAGAGACACAACAGGAAGCAATGTTAGAATCACTGAATCCTACCTAGGAAGAAAAGTAACAGTAAGTAGTAAATAATTGCTTGTGGATGTAGTGGTTATCTCTACAGTTATTTTTACCAATTCACACCAACTTCAGAACTAGAACATTTTTCATTTTCTGCAACTAAGCAATAGCATAATGTTTATTTTACAATCATAGTCCTTTGGCTAGTGTTTTTTGCTTGTAAGTGAAAGATGATGTTCTCAAAAGCTAGGATGTGTTGACATGCATACCTTTCTGGAACCATGTTGTCAACCACAGAATACAACCCTGTGGTGAAAGTGGAGTTTTCAGATGCAATATGCGCTTATTTAGAAACCCTGATGTTCCAAAATGGTATCTGTTTACTCTGTTTCACTCATGCTAATGTCACCTAGGAAGGCTGTGCATGCAGATAATGAATTATGCCAAATGACATCCACAGAATTAGAAGTGTAAATGGTCTTCCTAGATAATGCAGTCCTCAGTTAAAACGTTCACATTTACTTTTATAATTTCCTGTAGCTTTTCTTTTGTAGATAGAATTGCTGTATGACTCCACTGAACTTCAAATGAAGCAGAATGTTAAAATGAAGCCCTCAACTGCTCTTTAGTCACTGTTGGTCTGGAAGGCAAGCCATAAAAACAGATGTACTTTACAACTTGGGTTTGGCTATTGCTATGAAACTATTTTAAATATTTAACTTTTATCTGAAGCACTTAATCTGAAGACTTCAGATATGAAATAAGTAAGATGACATTAAGCAACTGAGAAATTAAAAGGATATTAGGAACAAGAAAAATTAAATTACTTAGTTGGATTTCTACAGCAAATTAATACTATAAATAGTATTTAAGCTTGCAGTTGATTTTGTCATTGAGGCTTCTAGTATTTCTTTCAAGATATTGTAAAGTTGCCTGAAATTAAATAGTAAATATTTGAGACTATTCTGAGCTTTGTTAAACATTTAGAATCAGCTTTGCAGGTAGAAAGTGATTCTATATTAAGCTACTAACACAGGGGATCATGTAGTTGAAAAGAAAGTTGGGAAAGATGCTGACAAAATCTATCCATATTATTAGAATCATTCTTTTCCATATGTTAACATGTGAAGTGTGAGCACCCCAGCTGATCTTTGATTCACTGTGGTTTTGCAGTCACTGACCTTTCAGAGTATACCTGCTAATGGTGGAAGAAGTTTATGGACCTATAACGCACCACCTAGCTGCCTGCTAAGGTTGAGAGGTATAGGGGTTTTATTTCCAGGGCTTCATGAGAAGAAATAATGAAATTTGTCAGATCCAGAATAGCTAGATCAGGAATTTGATGGGATGTCTTCGTATGCCTGTTGTTTTCCAATTGCTTCTTGCCAGCAAACATACCTCGTTCTGTTAGGTAAAATAAAAATGTTTCTTGTGATGATACCATGAATCTCATTTTAGGTTTTGTTTTCTTCCGGAGCTTTTGTTCGTGCTGATGTCAGTGAATGGGGAATGAGCATAACACTGAGGGCACCCAGTTCGGATTACAGACATACAGTGGGACTCTGTGGCACCTTTGATGGAAGTGCAGAGAATGACTATCACACCACAAGTGGGGTAGAAATCCCAAACCACGCTGATGTTCCTTCCTCTTTTATTAAGGAATGGAGGTAACAAAATACTTCTGCTTCAATCAGATGTCATCATTTTTGATTCAACCTTTCCTTCAAGCTCTTAAGAACCTAAAAAAAAAAAAAAAAGTTTTTAAGTTAATGCTAGAATGCTGTTGTTACTTTCCATAATGAATTGAAGATTGAAACTGAAGTGCCAAAATGGTATTTAAATAGTAGAGGTAAGATTAGTTTGAGTAGATTTTGAACAAAGTATCAAGGTATAAAGAAAATATCCATTCTTAGTTCTTCAGTTATAAGTTACTGTCACAGTTTTGTGATTTGGCTGGTCTTTAAATATAGCTGTATGCTGCAGATTCTGTGATCTATGAAATATGAAATAACAAAAAGCAAAACAAATATCACTGGTTTACTAAAACAGTGAAAATAGTTCAGATACAGTTTCATCTTTTTCTTTCTTCTCTAGAATTTCACCAGGAGACAGCTTGTTTGACAAGACACCTGCTTCTTTAACATCTTCTAGAAAAATGGTCTTTTGTGACTGTGCACTTGAAGATACTGGACTATATACATCAGTGAATAAACTAGAGACAGTTTCACAGTCAGAATTTTCTCTGTCTTGTAAAGAAAGTGAAAATGGTAGATTTCTTTCTTTGATACCAGGACTGGATGTCACTGCTGAGTATCTTGGGCCCGTCAGTCTTGTGAAAGGCTTAAAGAAACGTTTGTCTGCACATGAAATGGATTCATCTTCACTTCTGCAGAGGGAGGATAATCAAACCAATCTTCGTAAAACATCACTAGGAAACACACGTGTCTCTGCAACCTCAGTGGGAAATACTGGTGTAGAAAGAGAAGGAACTTCAAATTCAGGCATTAGAAGAAATTCTCACCGTTACAGTAGTCATCTTGACAAAACTCAACCTGTTACAAGTAGGGGGAAGCGCCAAAACTATTACGAATACCATTCGGTATTTCTATTCCAAAGTCTTAGCCAAACAGACTTAGAGGGATATAGTTACTTTTTTCCAGAGGACTATGCCACTGACACAGATCAGAAGTTTCTCCCTTCTTGGCCCACACCCTCTGGCCTCACAGAGCCTAGCGCTTTGTTACTATGCCAGCAGGCAATAGCTAATTCCAGTATAGGAAGATCTTGCAGTGGCCTTCTTGGCCGGCGAATAGAGGATGCAATCGATATGTGCGTTAAAGATTTGCTGCTGAAAGATGACCTCACTTGGGCAGAAGCTTCCTTAGCTCTTCTAGAGAATGAATGTGAGAAAAGAGTTTTAGAAGAAATAAATTACAACCAGCAGGAACTTGAAGGGTCAGTTGAGAGCCTGCTTACAGCATTAAAATGTCCCAGTCTCTGCAGGGGTAATGGGGAATGTACAGAATGGGGCTGTGCATGTTTTCAAGGCTACAGCTCATATGACTGCAGCATACTGTCTGGTAAGTGGGGTAGAAAAATTAGATTTATTTAATAATGCTCTTAGTGTGTCTGCAACATGCTTTTATTTTACTGCCTTTCTCTCCTGCTTTTGTATGCCAACAAGGGTTCCCTGCAGTGGCCCTGTTCATTATCCAGCAAGTTCCATTTTAATACAGCCACAATTGTTTTCTGTTCAGCGTTCTTGTTTCCAAAGGGCAAAACACAGGCTTAGTTTCTAGTGTGTCAGATTTTAAAGATTTACCACTCAGTGGGTTTGCAATCCAGAGTATTGCCCCAAGAAATCAGCAATGTTTCCACATGCTGTCTTCTTCAGGGAAGATCTGCCATGTCCAACCGTTCCCTGATTTTTTATAGTGTATGTGATTATTTATTTACTGTAAGTGGGATGTTTTTCTCTCTGATGATGTTACATCTCTGTAAGCTAACTCCTAGATATGGTGGGAGCACAAGTGATGTTGAAGAAAAAAGTACAACCAAGAGAGCTGGGCATGTTGGTTTTGTTTTGGGTTTGTTTTTTTTTCCACCAAATAAGACAGTAAAAATTCAGTAAGCTGGTATCCTGGAAAAAGAGGAAAAGTACTACAAAAGTCAAAACTATTTTGAAACAAAACCTGTTAATATTTTGTTTCACAGTGGTGTTTTTCTTTTAGTGACCTATTTAAAAGCAAATAGAGAAAGAGATAAGAGAATGATGAAATATTTTGTTCCTTTTGAAGTCAAATAAAAAGGCTTTGCTCATGAAAACTATTTTTGAGTGTTCTAATCTTAGCCAGTTTATTTGCTGAAATAATGTCACCTGAGATGTGGTGGTTTTTTTTTGTTAAACAAAAAATTCCCATTACAAATTATTGCATAACTGTAGCATCTCCAGTATCTACTACTAGGGCCTGAGTCTCATTTAGATTTTATTATGCAAGATGACCAAGCAAAACACATATTCAAAAGTGTTTGTTATTACATGAATTTTTTCTCTTCTTCATACTACTCAAGTTCCAAGAGAAGACAGAAGCTCAGCTTTAAAATTAAGATTCATTTTAACAATAAAATATGTTTCTCTTTATGAGTTTCTTCAGATAAGTCCAGATTTCACTGTTTGTAGTTTTCTTAGCTGGATAAAGAAATAACACATGCTGCTTAATGTAAATGCATAAGAATGAGTGAATATACTGACATTCATTGTCTAATCTCTTCTCTTTGAAGCCCAGGCTCCAGAAATTACAGCGCTGGAGAATGCTGGGCTGTGCGATATTCGACAATATGACTGCACATCAGTGAGAGCTTTTGGACATGGCTTCAGGGAGTCACTGAGTCTGAAATGTGAAATTGTCAAACTACAGGTAGGTCTCCCTGAGTAGTAACAATCACTTTGTAAACTTCTTGGAGAATGAGGGAAAAAAGTCTAACATACTACTCGTTGTTGTGGGTACGACCCAATGCTTTAGTAGGAGGTAAAAGCAAAGGCAGTCTGCACTTTGCAGCAAACGCTCAAGTCTTTGCAAGACTGCCATTTCCTCCATGATTAGAGAAATACAAAACAACAGGAATGTTTAGCAGCCGAGAGGGAGATAACTGCATATAGCAGCTATCCATCAGAAAAGGGCAAGGGCAGCCCTATTAGTAACAACCAGTACATAGTTGTTCAGATTTTTAAGTGCTTATGGAGAGGAAGTGAAGTACCACTTCTTTGAAAAAGGATGGCAAGGTTAAAGACATTATTAGATTTCTGTCTCAAATCTAATGCTTGAAATAGCCCTTTTATAAACATAATAAATCTGTTATGAAAAGAGAAAGGCATTTTTGATGTGTTGTCCATTTCCCTGGGGTAGAAGCCACAGCTATTTAATGATATGTGTCAGTTGTATACCCCAGGTTTGAACAGATTAAAAATGTCGCACTGCACAGAGAGACTCTTGTTATTCAGATCTAGAATTTGCTCAAGGCAAATTTACAAGAGGTTTACAAGTGTTAGCCTGGAATAAGCAGTTGGCAATTACAAGGTTTTATGTCACGTTAGACGTGAGAATAGAAACAAACTTCACAGTAAAACTGGGTTTCATTGATGTAATGATGCTGGGGGTAGTTGGTGAAAGGGGAACCCATTCAATGAGAAAATTTTGTTCTTGAGACAAAAGTTTTCCTCAGCTAATTCCAGCAGATGCTGAAATGATCTTGACAGATAAAGCAATGCTGGCTATAGATTTGTCTTAAACACAACATGTATCCACTCATCTGCAAGCTGGCTTGAAATGATAAAATCGAAAGTTTACACTCCATTAGGTTAAGAGACTGTTAGACCAATCTCACAGTGAAACAATTATTTGGAGTTCAGTTATCACAGTTTGAAATGTCTCGGATTTAACTCATGGCAAGCTATTCTGATATAACAGTGTTTGTGGTAATGTATTTGGCTCCCAACTGCAAATACTTCCTATTTTATTGATGGTCTTCTGTCTGACAAGAGCCAGGTTAGAAAATGAACACTACTGTTACTATCTGCAGTTGAGGAGAAAGCTGGGAATTTTTTCCTTGAAAATACCAAAGATGGATATTTGCATTTATTTGTTTTGTTTTATTTAGTTTTGTTTGTTTAATTTTCAGGCTGGAGTAATAGTGACTTTATACAAATGTCAATGGACTTGCAACAGTAGAGAACTCCATATATTTTAAGATTAAACCTAAATGATCAAAATTTCATAGAAGAGGCATTTTGGCAGAATTTAGAGCTAATACACTGAATTTCATATTTTTTTATATTTTAATTTCTGAAAGGTTAAATCCATTGTCCATGGGTGTCCCACCATGTTAAGGAGGATGTAGGTCTCATACTTGATGCTAGAAGAAATGTTTTAAAAAATTCTATATTGAAGTACCTCACAGATGGATGGTTACTGCACAGCTCTTGATAGAGGTTTGTGTAGGATGTCACCAAGGAAGCTATAATTAGACAGACCTAGAATTTACCAAGATTTTTGTGAAGGATGAGAGTGTGTTTTAACCTCAGTTAACACAGTTTTAGTTCCTTCTTTCTTAAGTTAAATTGAAGAAATAAGTTTTTTGGTGAACCAAATGTGCTAGAAAATAGTAGATCTGAAAGTTTTTTTATTGTGTTTTGAAAGGTTAATCTGTTTCTGAAAAAATTATCTGAACTTGCCTCCAGCTCCTAACAAAAGGTTTCTGGAGAAATAGACTGCATCACATTTCAAAGGTTATAGTACTAAATGCGCTCAAAATTACATATTTGGAAGTATTTAGCTGTTACATTTTTACTCACTGTTGCTGTGAATTCCTTAACTGAGTATAGGATGAAAGAAAAACAAAATGGTTGGTTGGAACAAAACTAAGTCATATGTTTTTCCAGAAAAAGCTTTTATTTTTCTTTTATTTTTCTGTTTGCAAGAAAAGCAAAACAAAACAAAAATAAAATGCCAAGCCTTACCAGCAGATGACTCCCCTTGTCAGGATTGGGATTGCATAAATATCGTGACTGCCTTCAGTAACTGAAAAAATGCACCAGCTCAGTAAAACCTATTCAAGCTTAAAATTATTTGATCTTGCTGTTGATTCTTTGTCTGGATTCTTACTTCCATCTAACTTTATTTTCAGTATCCTTATCCCGGCTTCCACATCAACACTTCAGTGAAGTAGTATTCTCATACCTATTCTGTTACCTTGAACTCTCAGGATAGATCCTTGGATGACTTGTACTCACTGCAGTTTAGAAGAAACATCTTCGGGGTTAATGGTATAATCTGTTGGTTTGTGCAGAGGGCTTAATGGCTAGCTGCCAGTATTCCCCCAGCACTCAGAATGATACCTGAGCCGTGCCAAAAACGTCATCTGTTCCTTCAACTAAAGCTTGTCCTCTCATGGGAGCAGAGATGGAGAGGGATAGAGGCACTTATACGTCAGATCACTGCTGTTAGAGGATCACCCACTGCTTAAACCTACCATTACTCTCCAGCTGGAAGAATTGCTTGTCCTTGGCAATGCAGTGCCAAAGAGCCATGTGGCAGGAAAGACTTCTCTGCTTTTTCTTCCATGGGAGCAGGCTTATGCAGAAATCTATGTGTGCAAATAATGGCATTTAGTATCGCCTACTGTATTCTAATCCAGAGACATTAGATTTGTCCAAACTATGCAATACATGGGTGTTTTACTCTGATAAAAATATTTTCTTACTGTATTTCACTGAAAAACGGATTTTCTGTCTTAACATCTAGTATAGCGATGGACAATGGATTCCTGGAGAGCCTCTGTCTATGCCAGCTGCCTTCCAGAATTCCAGGACTGTCGACTGTCAGTTACCAAGTGATGGCCAGCAGTCTGATGTCATGGATGTGGTTGATGATAAACCCATTGCCAGGTGGCAAATAAAGGTACTTGCAGAAATTTCAAGTATTCACTTACAGGTGTTCCTATTGAAATGAAAATATCCTGCCATAGATATTACCCTTTTTAAAATGGTACTAAAGGCTTGCTTGGCTCAGTTTCATCACCCAAGCTTATGAGTTGAGTGCCATTTGAGAGTGTTCTCCTCCATGGGGGCCCCAAGATGTGCCCTAGGACCTAAAAAGGCGCATGTTTTTCAAGGATAGAAGTTAAAGCCCACATAGTTACCCTAGAGCATTTCAAATTGCATTAGACATATTTATGAGAAAATTGATTTGAGCCCAGTCTACTTGAATGAATCCTTGTGTGAGGTCAATAGAGCCTGCATGCTATTCAATGTACTCTAAAGTAGACACCTACATGTGGTCAGTCAAATATCTGTTTAGACTTATTGGCAGTATTGATTAGATTTCTGATGACTGTTAAGAGTTTAAACAGCTAAGTGTAGGTATCTATCAATGACTTGAAGCTCATGTTAGCACTCCATGCTGGTGATACGCTGATACCTGTATGGGTTAATCCATTTTTACTGTACATCTTGCAGATTTCTAATGATGGATTCATTTATAGCAACTCTAAAACAATGGTACTGTATGATGGAGCCTGTCAGACATGTGAACCACAAGAACCTGGCTTATGTACATTAAAGGTATGTATTTCATTATTCTCTCTGTTTATTATGAAAGTAGGCATCATTTCAGTCAGAAAAAAACCCTAGAAAAAAGAGCAGATGTATGCTGTTATGGTTTCCAACAGGGAGTTCCCATGCACAGAAATGCTAAGGACAGAAAGGGAAGCTGGGATGAAATAAAGTACTTCATATAATTACCAAATAAAACCAAGCATGCTGTCAGTTGTTTAGATTTAAAAACAACTTATTTAGTGGAAGTGCAGATAGATTAGGTTTTATTTGACACTTTACAAATGTATCCAGTTTTACCGTTTAATAACCAAAAATTAATGAATCACATTGTCATTTCTCTAAAAGGAGAAAACATGCAACATAGATGGTCTCTGTTATGGTGAAGGTGACACAAATCCAACCAGCCCTTGTTTACTCTGCAGACCTGACATATCAAAGTTAACTTGGTCAGTTGTTGAAAGTAAGTTCTAAATAGTTTTGTGGATTTGTTTTTGTTTTGTTGTTGGCTTTTTTTTAATAGCAAGAAGTTGTAAATATACTAAGTTTTTATATATGTGGAAATAGTAAAGTTCTAACTAGTTAAGTTCTTCATTTAAAATCTAGTACACACAACTTTAACTTGTAATTTGATCTTGGTTTTTCATCTGGTGTTTCTCCTAATTTCTGCTGGTGATATTTTGTTTTCCAGACCATACATGTAGAAATTGGCATCCTCTTCATCTCTCCCAGTAGCCTTTAAAAATAACTAATGAAAATTTACCGCTCTCAGCCTAATTGACTGAAGTGGTTTGATATTTGGCACAGCTACATCCACAAATGTTTGTCCTCAACATTTAGGAATAAAAGCTATTTTCCAACAAATTATTCTGGTACCAAACAAGAGGAGAACACAATTAAATGTTGTGTCATTATTTATTAGCCACTTAATATTTGGACATAATCCATATCGATTCTGTGATTCTAAATACAAGTATTTCATCAGTGTTTTCATGGGTAAATGCGCTGGCAAGACTCTGCCTGAGTTGGAAAGGGTCCTGTGTGAGTAGAACTTCTTGTCAGCAAGACAGGTGCCTGTCTTGCTGAATCTTTTCCTAGTCCAAACTTGTGCTAAAAGCCTAGGTAGCTATAACGATTCCAAAATAATGAAACCTGAATTAAATGAATGAAATTAAACTCATCCAACAGTCAGGAAGTCAAGGGATTTCCATCGTACAGCCATGGACTGTAATTCAATATTGCCAAAGTCAGAAATGGAAGAGCCAAGGACCACAGCCTTTTCTCCAGAGTGGCTGACATTTGGAACAGGGTGTCAGAATCAAACTGCTGAAACACAGATTACAGCTTCTTCTCCCTTCATGGTTTCCTGCATGGAGCAGTCATTTCACTGTAACCCAAAATTTAGCAATCTTAATCACCTTCCAATGTTCCAGCTTCAAAACTTAAACCCTCCCCAGGGCATCTGCTTCTCTCTTTCACAGATCTTGTCCTGGTCTTGGGGTTTTATTTATTTGTTTTCACCTGGTGTTCCTAGAAATCTAGTTATTCCTGCCAAATAGGTTAGAGCTCAACAGTGGAGGCATCTTAAATAGACTAAGATTACCAGTAATCTGTTGTACAGTTCAAATCATTCCTAGGAACAGTGAGTGAATTACCTATTCCATCACCTCATCTCAGTTTTGCCAAGGTAGTCACTGCAGCCCATTCCCAAGTACTGCTTAACAATGTCTGTTCATTTGTTAATGGAAATAGCAATCACCACCTTTTTTTTTATGGCTTCCTGTACTTCCATCTGCAAACTGTCTCTGCGTAGTTAAAATACAGCATTAAAATTTGATAAATTCTGAATTCTTTTTATGCCTAGAGGCACTGCATCTTTACAAGCTCTTGTACTGAATAAGTAATTTCTTGGTTATGTTGTTACAGTTTTAACAAAAATACCTAGTGTTTTCCTTGTGCTATTAAATTACATTAGAATGTAAGAGAAATAATTACATGTGACTTCTATAATAGGAAGATATGCTCCTTTTAATTTTTATAAGTATATTGCCACTTTGCTTAAAACAGGGACATATCTCCTTTGTTACAGACAACCAGCCTCCAGTGCTTGAAAATTTTCGGGGTATGCTACAGACTTTTTATGGAGAAGATTTTGTGTATCAGTTTTTGGCTTCAGATCCAGAGGGCTCTGCTATTCATTTCACATTGGATTCTGGTCCAGAAGGTGCCAGTCTTTCCCCATCAGGTCTCCTTTTGTGGAAAGCTGTGTCAATGAATCCCCATAAATTAACATTTTCTTTGACAGATGACTGCAGTGCAAAGACTAAGGTAGAAATAAAGGTAATGCATATTACAGTAAAGTGACACCCACCAGTAAGATGTTTAAGATATCTAATTACAAAACTCAGTACTAGTTCATTAAAAAAAAATTGTCTTATTGGGCATGTCTTGTAGGTCAGTGTAAAATCATGTGATTGCCTAAATAATGGCTCATGTGTGACAAACATTAATTTCCCACCTGGAAGTGGAAGATATCTTTGTGTGTGTGTGGCTGGATTTGAAGGTGATCTCTGTCAAGTGAATACTGATGACTGTAAACTTAACCCGTGTGGTATTGGCAGATGTGTGGATGGAATAAACAGCTATTACTGTGAATGTCCACCTGAACTTCAAGGTAAATTGATACTTTACTATCACATTTAGTGATAAATAGGAATTTCAAATTTTATGTCTATATTGCTTGGTGTTTTGTTGGTTTTGTTTTGGTGTTTTGGTGGTTTTTTAAATTTTTTATTGTAAAAGGGTTACTGATAGAGTATGAAGAAATTTTATGGTCTTGTGATAAAGTTATAGGACCTACTTCAAGGTTTTTCTTGCATGAATACAATGGTTGTTTATTTTGTGAAAACAAATTTACATTTTTTTCCTCCACACAGATGGACTCAGCAACATGGTGAAACATAGGAGTGATGAGTTTTGTTACAGTGTGATTCCTCCTATGCCCGCAACAAACATGTAGCCCCACAGCCCATCTTCTCCATATTCCATAATAAGCAAGATACTTATATAAGATGAAAAAATGTGAATAGCAAACCTAGTCAGCTGTACTTATTACACGGAAGTGATGTGTTGCAATTGATAGATCCCCTTTTTATATTTCAGCACCTGCATATATTAGAATTGTATTCTACTTTTATCTTTTAAAAACATGCTGTCAAAGCCTAGCGACACAATATTATTAAAAAATCTGTATTTCAATGCAGGTAAAAATTGTCAAGATGATGTAGACGAATGTATATCCAGTCCTTGCTTCCCTGGAGTGTTTTGCTTCAATACTTTTGGTTCTTACTATTGTGGTCCATGCCCAGATAATCTGCAAGGAAATGGGAAGTTATGTTACGGTAAAATTACTTGTTTTACAGAAGAATGCTGTTAACTTACTGTCCTTCAGATAAAATACCTTTTGGTTGTGCTTCATGTTTCTTACAGAAATTTAGAACTCTTTTCAATAGTGAGCAAACGAGGACTGTGTCTCTGACTGTTGGTGGCTGGGACAAAATCTCAGCTGATGACAGCATCAGACTGCACTCTCACTTAGTTCTAAAACACTTCTCCAGGTGACTAGAAAAAATAGGTACAAAATACCCTGGTTTTTTTTACATCAGATTAGGATGCAATGAAATGTAATATTTTTTCTGCATTATTTTCATAATGTAAGCAGTTACTGCTAAAATATTTTTCTATTTGATTGCTTTAGCATAGCTTAACATTGTGTAACTATTTATCCAAATAAAGGCACTTGCCAAAAACAGTGCCCAAAAATTTATTCAGAATGCAATTACTGAATAACTTGTGTTTTTAAAATACTCTAAAGAAAACAATTTTTACTCTCACAGCTTTCTGAATTTTGAGTAATTTTTAGGTACTAAAACTTCAACTGTAATTTATTTGCAGCTGAAGCAAAAGTAACAGCTAATGTTCCTTCACATCTTTTCTTTTAGAAAGCTTTGAAACCACTAATGTTGAAAGAAAGCATTCCACAGGAGAAATTGGAGGGAATAAAGGTGATGTTTTTCATGAAGAAAATGGAGTTTCTGATTCACATACTGATAAGCATATAGCTGGCAAATAAAGGTTCTAGTCAGTTTTACGTTACTCGCTTTAATTTTTCAGTTTGACTCTAATTCGTTATTGGTGGTTTATTCTAGTCTGAAAAATTAGTCTGAAATGTCAATATCAACAAATCCCTTAGGTTAGTCAAATAATTTTATTGACAGTGTGATGTATGACACTCTTACAGTTGCCTTTTGTTTTTGTGACTAACCACTGACATAAAATAGGCAGCATGGGGATAGGGACATCTGTTGTACGGGATAAGCAAAAGTTTGTGGCATTATGTTGAATGACATTTTCCTACTTTAATTCAAAGGAAAGGTGAAGGATATGGCAAGCGAATGTCTTAATTTCAGAACTCAGTAAGCGCTGTTGCTGGCATTTCCAGTTTCGTGCCTGCTGAGGCTTTCTTTGCAGGAAATTCTCATGTGTCTTTTGCCTTTATCTCTGAGTTGCTAGTGGGGGAGGAGGAAAACTCTTTTACTCTGCTGCCAGTGTTGGTTCATTCTTCAGTAGCTGTAAAATGGTTTGCTTTTCCACAGTGGGAGACAGCACTCATTGATACAATTTAGTAAAGTTTAACCTTTTGTAGACCATTCTGTATTACTGTAGTAAATGGGATTAGGGACTGAACTTAAGTAAGGTTGGATAATCTTCTCCTGTTTCATTCCGTTCTCTGTCCCGTAATGCTAAAAGCCCCGTATACAGCATTCTGCCATGCCAGGATTACAGTGCCACAACACAGCAGGCCACCTGCTTTTCCTGGGCAGAATAGGAAGAATATTTCCTTCATTTGGCATTCTTTTCCAAAACGAGGCAGAGTCAGTCTCTGTTACTTACAAAACATCCAACTAATAAAACCCGTATAGAAGCTTCAAGGACATTGAGAAAAATTTGGAGAACAAAATACGACAGTTCTTTTGCTACCAGGTGGTGGGTTATTCACCTAAAATACTGTCTGTCAATATGTATAAGCAGGTACATGATTGAATATCTGCTTCCAGGTTCCAGGCTTATTATTAGTGCTCAGGCACAGTGGTGAACCATAAGCATTATCTTTTCTTTAAACTTTGTTTCAGTTATCTACTTGCAAGTAGATGGAGCTGATAATTTGCTCTGACAGTAAAGCTGATTATTGACCAAGTATGGAAAAATCTCTGCTGTCAGCCTCATAGATATGGTGCATTCTCCTTATCTTCCAGCCAAGAAAAGACATGGTGAGAGTGGGAAAGAACGTAGCCAGAATACCTTGATCTTCTCCAGTTCTGCCAGTTAGTTCTACTCCATACATGCTTTCTAATGTAGCACATGGAGAGACTGTGAAGCAAACTGAGTGGGCTGTATGTTTTTCTGTTCAAAAGACATTCCCCATTCTCAGAAGGGAAAAAAAAGTCTCATAATATTCCTGTACTTCCCCCCCTTCTTTCCAACATGCTGTAGGTTTTCAGCAGTCGTCGTTTGAAAAGGATTTAAGCATCTTGAGCTATATTTCAAGCACTACAGGTGTCCCCGAGAGATTTATTTCTACAGAAGTAGTCAGTAGCAGTGCTCCACCATCTTCCACAGTAAAAGCCATCACTGCTTGGAAGTCACTTCATTCTCAGAGAAGTGCTTCTGTACAGCCTGCTGTTATTGGAAACATTGCTCATGCTCTCAGCAGCATCAGTGATCACCTTGCTAACATGGAAGAGAGTTCTTCAGTATATGCTGTGAAGCCTGCATCTTCACAGAGCCGTGTTGCATCACCTGAGAAGAAAATAAGGGCACAAGTTGAGGCCTACAGCTATTTTGAGACCAGCAGGAAGACTTCTAGCAGCACAAAAAATATAAGCAAAGGGCTGTCTTTGCAAAGCAAAGTTCTCAAAGGTGGAAATGCTTACAGAGTTCAACAACTGTTAGACAAGCATAAGGCGAGTCCTTTACCTTTTGGCCTTGTTGAAGTCACTGCCCCTCCAAAAATGCTTCCTGAAGAGCTGAGCGAAATAGTGATTCCTAAAGCAGTAACCTGTACTGATTTACCCTGTTTTCCTGGCGTACCTTGTGAGCCACGTCAGGATGGAGGTGTCAAGTGTGGTCGTTGTCCTTATGGTTATTATGGAGATGGCTTCACTTGCAGAGGTATTACAGATAACTGTACTAAATGCTTTGCAGAAAAGAATCTTTTGACATCTTTATAACTTTGTGATCAGTGAAATGCATAAAGTATTGAATTTTCTCATTTTCATTATTAATATTGGCATAGCCTATAGGTTTTTAGTTGTATGTATGCACTTAAAAATACTTTTCTGATGTGTCTCAGGGTCCCCTCTTATGGGAAGGGACCGGATGTATGTTATGTGATCTGTTCGTTATGTTAGAAAAGACAGTTGTGCTGAAACGCCACTTTCATTTTCCTTATTCCTTTCTTTGTTTTCTTCATTGCCTTTCAGCCAGATGTAGACAAACATGTGGCAAAAACATGGAGTGTGTGGCACCTAATACTTGCAAGTGCAAGCCTGGTTATAGTGGTTATAACTGTCAGGCTGGTGAGTATGGCATTTTGATTTGGCCTGTGGTAACTCATACCTATGAATTAATGATTTGAATATCCACAGTTAATTTTTTTGCACAGCTCTCTGCAGGCCTGATTGCAAAAACCACGGGAAGTGCATTAAGCCCAATGTCTGTGAATGTCGTCCAGGATATAGTGGCTCTGCTTGTGAGGAAGGTAAATGGAATGTTTCTCATTTTTGAATCCATAAATGCCTAAAGAATGCTATAGATAACTTCCATGACAGCAAAAATGTGTTAATTTTACTCTAATAGAATTCTTAAGTAACTCTGTGAGTATAGCTATGTAACGTACTTCTTTTATATCCACTCTAAGTGTTGCTTGTGACTGAATAGTCCTAAATTTAGCTTTCCAAGTAAGTAGAGGAGTTAACCAGTGAATGTAGATGCCTCTAACATAAACACTTTCAAAAAGTGGGAAGTCCTGTCTGGAAGTTGTCTTGGATTTCTTCAGGGTGTCCACCATTGTTGGGACTCCCTGTACTCTGTTGGCATTAATTAGTTGTTGTTAACATTTTCCTGTCACAAGGCATTGTATATGTCTTCTTATTTTATTGTCAGTTCTTTGCTCACAGTCAGTTATTAACATTTCCCTTTTTCTAAAGCATAACCAGTCCATGCATCTTTTTAGATTGAACAACATAATTCTCTATTTACAGCACATTGTAAACCACCCTGTCAAAATGGAGGCACGTGCTTGGCCAGAAATCTCTGCACCTGTCCATATGGTTTTGTGGGACCAAGATGTGATACGAGTAAGAAAAAAAGCATAAGGGAAGAACAAAGAACATTTCTTATGTTTTTCAGGAGAAAAAAACAAATTATGGTTTACATTTTTTATGCACTCTGTCTAATGCTGGTAATTGACATAAAACCCAATACACTTAGAAGGTTCCCATGCTTGGGCCTTTCCAACATTAGTTAGGTAGTATTTGCACATAACTTTGAAAATACTATGTGCTGTGAAAATTGCAAATAGTTCATTATTTATGATTTATGAATGTGGAACCGTTGAATATGTTGTGCATTATGATGTTACCTTCAGAAGAAACATAGATGTTTAATATGTCCTTACAGCTTTTTGACTTCTACCATCTTAAATTGGTTAGATGCTGGTGTACATTCAAAAGTTGGTATCAGGGAATGGCAGTTCAAAAAAGTTGGGATACATTAAAACTGAATTCAGAATGATATTATGGAGTCTTCTCCTTTTTTTTTTTTTTTACCTGTCAAGAAGACTGGAAAATTTGCTGAAAAATTGTGGTTAGTCTCACATAAGTTGTCTTTTGCACACTGAATTCTACATGCTGCAATTTGGCAGCTCCAGATTTTGGATAGATTTTGTACTGGTAATTTTTATTATTCAGAGAGTCCAAATTTAGACATGCTGTTTATCATTCCCGTAATGTGCCACTGCATTTTTGACCCCAAATTGAGAAAGTCCTTTGTTCAGCTACTTCTCAAATCCCAGGATTCTTTATTCTCAGTTTTTCTTGTTCTAGTTTCAATTGTGACCAAGAAAAAAAAAAGCTTCTCTTTACTAAGCTGTACTACAGAAAATGAGATAAGTGAAATGTTGTCCTGAAGAAGTGATTCATTGTTTTCCACAGCCATGATATTTTAATGTCTCTGGTTGTTAGTGTCATGTCACTCCAAGCATGCAACTGTACTTGCTGAAATGATGGAGGACATGTGTGAATTTTCTTGGAGTCCATCAAATCCATCATGTGTCTTAGTATTGAATTTTATTTTTTTTTCTTGCAATGTATTTCAAATTTTCTAGATTTTTAACACTGAACATAACCAGACCATGGATAATTGCATGGAAAGACATTTATTTATCTTTATATTCTAGTGCTAGCTTTTTGTGGCTTTGAGACTGAATTAATCTATTCAGGATTCCATCTTCAGTTACTGGAATTGTATGCTATTTCCATTGTTAATGTCTGGGAAAGAACTAAAAAATTAAGTGTAGTTTGTAACATATCTCTTTCTTTCTTCTCCCCACCTGCTGCCTTTGTTCTTGCCTAACTTCTTGGATGGAAGTGGTTTGCAACAGGCACTGTGAAAATGGTGGTAAATGCCTTACTCCAGACACCTGCCAGTGTAAACGTGGGTGGTACGGACCTACATGCAGTACAGGTACCACTCCTACAGCTTTCGTATTCCTCAGAGGGCATCTCTAGGACCTCCCATAGTTTGAAATTTGGAACCGCATGGCTCAGACAGCAGCAATATCTCTGTGTGTTAGTTGCTGCCAGCAGCACCTCTAGAATGTCTCATACTGATTCTAAAATTCTGAGTAAAGGTTTTATCTGAATGGTGTTACATGCACTTAAGTGTTTTAATTCCTGTCATTGCAACAGAAGCATGTATGTTATAGACTTTACTAGGATATCGTGCTTCCCACTGTTCCTGACCCTGTTTCTGCAGCAATGTGTGACCCCGTGTGTCTTAATGGTGGTTCCTGTACTAAGCCAGATGTTTGCCTATGTCCACATGGATTCTTTGGTGCCCAGTGTCAGAATGGTAATCTTTTTTTTCTTCCCCCTCCCCTCTTAGCTGCCATTATGAGGAAGTTTGTGAGAAAACATAGTTATCTTAACACAAAATTCACAATCAGGTCATGTATCTGAGAAGTGGTGCAAAGCAAAGATTAGATTATTCTTTTAGATTTTCTGGCTGATTCAGTGAATGTCCAAAGAGAACGGAGGCTCAAAAATTGTCTTGTCTTCTACTCAACTTTTGAGCAATATTCAGCCAGTTCCATTGCATATTAAGTACTCTGGTTACTCGTGTACATACATACAGTTACCAAACTTGACCCATTATTACCTGATTTTGTGTTTACTGTTGACATAGGCACTAATTCATATTAATAGAATTTTGATGAGATAGGCCTGATAGTGCTGAATGTCTCTACAAACAGTCAGAATTTTAGTGTTGCACTGTTATTTCCTAGAAGTGTATTGGTAAACCAAACAAAACGCAAACTCCAGCCTTTCCCTCCTGTTTGTATCTTTTAGCTGTCTGCAGCCCACCTTGTAAGAATGGTGGTCATTGCATGAGAAACAACATCTGTACTTGTCCTGAGGGGTACATGGGCAGAAGATGTGAAAAAAGTAAGGCAGTGTTAAAATCCTTCCAGGATCCAAAAGTAACCAATATATTATTCTGTAATCAGATAAATGTATTAACCAGCAGATTGTTTTGATTTTAAGGTGTCTGTGAGCCAAGGTGCATGAATGGAGGAAGGTGCGTAGGACCAAATGTTTGCTCTTGTCCTTCAGGTTGGAGAGGAAAAAGATGTAACACTCGTAAGTGCCTTGCAGTGAGGTATGGAGAACTGTACCTTAGAAGTAATATGACTGAAGGACAACTCTGTTCACACAGTTAATGCAAAGTTAGCACCAAAGAACTCAAGAATGAAAGATTATAGTCTATAACTTGGCAGGAAAATTTAGGATGGAGCACTAATACCATCCAGTTCTTAGGCTGAATCATGAGACCAAAGTATCTTTTAAATTCTTGTATATCAGATAATGTTCGCTTCTTTTTAACTCTTGTCCAAATAAGAAACATCTGTATTTCTGCAAAGAGCTCAGTCAGTGAAGTGAAAGAATTTCAGTTTGTGCTGTAGGACATGAAAGCAGATATAATAGAAAAAGAACTGCAGTGGAAGATTGGGAAACTGTGAAAACAGGGGGTGATGATTGGAATGGAAGATGCAATGAGCATCTTTAGACCCTCTTTAGAAATAGGACTATGATGGTAGCACAGCTGTGGGTCACACTGTATATTAATGAAGATATTGACAGTGCATAAATAAAATGTGGCAGCATGGATAAAACCAGTCTGCCTGAAAGTCAGCATGAGGATGAGTAGTAAAAATCCAATAGCTAAAGTGTTAGTGTCTGTCACAGCATCCACTTGAGGCTCCGATACTGATATGGCCAATAAGCTCTAATGGCATGGAGGGAAAACAATTTTCCCTGTATTACTTTCTGTAATTAATGGAACGTTTTACAAAAAAAAACCCACAAAACTACCCATATTAACAGGGGTGAGATATTCTTGGGTGCTGTGTAAGAGAGATTTGATTATCAGATAGTTAACCAATGAGAAATGATAGTGGTTTAGATTATGGCTTTATAAGCAGAGATGAACGTGCAGAAAAATGAGTCTTAGAAAATAATTTTGGATCAAATGTTCATGAGTTGATGTGTTAAGATGCATAACTGAGAAAAGATCTCTCACTAAGGTGTGGGGTTTAGATAAGGCAATTTGGAAAAAAATGAAGCTATTTAGTGGTGCTGTCACTATTTCAGGCTTTTGTAGCAATCTGTGATTCATCAAAACATCTCAGTGCATGCTCTGGATGCAGGGCTTTTTGCTCATAGTTGCTTGTCTTCTTTAATATCCTCCTGAACTTAGGTGGCTTTTCAGTGAAGATGATGCGACTCTTTTGTATGGAAGGCACTTAATCTCTTGTGGGCATCCTGAAATGCAAATAATAAGTAAAAGTAATCACTTGGGGTATAACCAAACTTTGTGATGATGTTTGTGCAGCGATCTGTCTTCAGGAGTGTGGGAACGGTGGAGAGTGTATTGGGCCAAGTACGTGTCATTGTCCTCCGCAGTGGGAAGGAATCCGGTGTCAAACACGTAAGACCGATGTGACCTGAAACCTTTTGCTTCAACACAGTTACGAATGCTTCATCCACACATAGTAACTAGGAGTCCTATATCCTGGTTGTATTTTAACCCAAATCGGTGTCAAAGGCAGGATAAAAAGTAGCGATTCCTCTACCAGTTCTGAAGACTCCGGACTGTGATGGTAATCTGGGGCCATGGCAATATGTGGTGGCTTGCTGTAACACAGTATGCTGCTGCGACAGCCTGAGAGGCCATTGCAATAGCTTGAAGATTCATTAAACCCCACCTTACTCACCTCTCTTGCCCAGTTGTGTGCATGCCCTCAGCATGTTCCCATATTAAATCTGCATCAAAGCATAATGGGGATGGGGTAGGTATAAGAACATTGTTGGCTCTACATGACTCTGAAATCTTCTCACACTGAGGCATGTTTCCCAATGAAAATACCTACCATATTCTCAGCTCCTATAAACAAGCAGAATAAGCGTATAGAGATAGTAGCCACTTTTCCTTCACCAAGTTGTTTTCAAGAATAAAGCCAAATATGTACCTCTCCTGTTTTAGCTGTGTGCAACCAGAAGTGTCTGTTCGGAGGCAGGTGTGTATTGCCCAATGTATGCTTGTGTCGTCCTGGTTATACTGGAGTCATCTGTGGCAAGAAAATTCAGGTACGTGTAAAGTCAAAACACCATCACAAATACAGCTATTTGGCAATCATTATCTAGTCCACTCTTGTCCAGTGAAACAGCACAGAATACACCAGATGTTCTTGTCCAATTTCATTTCAGTCTCCAGTGAGAGTAAATTCATAAAATTCCTAAGAGCTATTCCAGTAACTTACTGGCGGTAATACTCACAGAACTGTTCTCAACACTTAATGTAAATTCCATTTGTTTCAAACTAAGCTAATCATCTCTTGTCCTTCTCTAAGTGGCTGCAGCAGGAGTTGATAACTACCCTCGTACAGTCAATAATCTTTTCTAGTATCTGGCCCCCTTCTAGGGAAGACTATCTCACCACTGATTGTCTTAGCTTGTGTTGAGTCAAGCTCTGATCTTGACTACAATGTCACTCAGTTCATCCCTGCTTTATACAAACTTTCCTCATCCCCAAGTGTAACCTTGAGAATAGCATTACTTTTCTGCATTAGAGTGAATGATGACCATTTCTGGGCTTTGTCATGTAATCTGTTGTATTCCTTTGCTTGAGTGCTGACAGCCACTCACAGAAGTAATTTAATGAAACATTTCATTACAGTTAAATCTTTTGGATGTCTGGGGTAGAAAGCGTTCTGCTCTTCTCGAATCATCTGTAATGTTTCTGTTCTCTTAATTTCAACATACTTAGACACTTTCTGGTGCCAGCAGGATTCATTTGGTGGAGCTGGGACATAGCCTGGCTTGATACAAGCCCTGTATGCTGGCACTGTTCCTTTATATTCATCCTTAATTCTATGCCACTATTCAAACCTGTACTGTGTTTGTTTTTAAAAACAATTCAGTTATTTGGTCTCCAGCATATTCTATCCTTCCCATCTTTCATTCTCTTAAGTACTTTGTCACATTATGTCTTGTAATGTAAAACCTATACTGTGGCTGCTAAATGTGCAAGCATTTTTAGTGAGAAATGGGTAGAACAGGGAAGAGAGCAATGGTTTAACTTTCACCCAGCCTCAGCTCCTCCCAATTAAGTCTACAGGGAGTTCAGATTGTTTTTCTACTTCAAGTCAAATATATGATGCCAGTACCACTTGTTCATACACGTCATGAAAATATAAAACTACACATCCTATAATGCGAAGACTGTAACGTTTACAATATATATTTCCAAAATGTGGCCTAAAAAAAAGGAAATAGTTTTTATTATCATCCAAAGCACTAGTACATTTTTAACCTAGAAAATACACTGCTGATCAGACAAAGCTGTGTCATACACTGACCAAAATGGCATAATTTCTTAAAGGAATAAACAAGCTCTATGCACAAGTTTAACCTAATGCGGTATTTTTGCATAGCAGGGAAGCAGGAATTTATTGAGATTGTTTCTTAAACTTTATCGTAAAACAGTGCTGCGTTATTAAAGTTTCTTTTTATATTTATTTGTTTTTCTCTCCAAGGTACAAAGACATCATGGTTGAAGAAAAAGAAGTGTATCATCAGTTGCAATGCTGCATGTATGAGACTTGAAAATAGCAAAAGGGTTGAAGGCAATTGCAGCATTTATTTAAATGAATATCCAGAAGCATTATTTTAGATGATTCATATGGTTAGCTTCAAAACAACGATGTCGCAGTCGTTAAAACATATGTGTATTTCTACAATTTTTTGCTACCTCATGCAGAAACCCCAAAGCCTCTGATTATTCTCTGGGCTCACAGATTTGATGAATGATTCAAACACAAAATTCTTCAGTTTGTTGATGTAGTCAGTGGGGCTATGAGATTGTCCTTGTGGGAACAAGACTAACAGCTGCCAAATGTCTGTAGGAAGGGAGGCAGCACATCATCACTTGTGAATGGTACCTTCTGCTTTTAAGCAGTGGTTACATACGTATTATTGGCTGTGTACAGAAGAAAAAGCAGAACTATATTTTTTGTGTGTGTTATATTTGCATCAGTCTGCTGTAATGACTAGCAGCTAGTGAGGAAGAAAGGGGAACGAACAGGCTACTAATAACAGAGGCAAGGCCACATGTCTTGTTAACCAGATGCCAAATAATTCTGATTGATTTATTTTAGCAAGCCTTTGTAAACTGTTTTGGGATGGCTTCCAGTAATTTTGTCTCTGAATCTCTTAAAAGAACTTGGGACAACACTTTCGTCCATGCCAAATCTTAAAATCTGAACTAGTACAGAAAATTCCTCCTCCATCGTGCTATCCATATGCATCAAATCAGAAAGTATTTGTAAAAACATCATAGAAGAATGAACTGTTAGAACATACCAGCTGCCAGGTGGGTTTTGAGCAAATAAAACTCTGATTTTCCTCAGTGTTTCCTACAGAGGACCACCATCATCTTCCCTTACAGCTGTGTAAGACATTTTCAGTTCCTGCCACAACCAGCTCTTGTAATAGATGCAAATGTGCATTTAGCTAAGCCATTGAACTCTACTGTTTTACTTTGTTTTCTTTAAACCAGACATAAACATCACAACTTACTGTTCTTCTGAGCAATATTCAGTTTACATACACCAATTCTGAATGCGAAGAACACAGAGCTCATTTTGCCATTTATTGCCACTGTGGGATGCTGACTGCCAAATCATAGCTGTTACCAGCTCTCTGCCTATATTTCTCCTCACCTTTTGATAGTCCTCTTAAGTCATTCTGCAAAGTAAGCTGGCATTTTGAGAGCTCGGCATTATTCCAGGATAGTACCTGATGGATTTCCAAAAGCCTGACTGGTGTACTTAAAAATGTTTTCAATTTTCCACTTGCATTCTAAGTTTCAGTGTTTCCATAGTTTCTTTCAATCTAGCATCCGAGTGGCTGATAGCCTGATCTTCTGGGAACTGTTCTGTTATTTAAAACCTACTCCACCTGAACCATTCTCTTTCACACAACTCACAAAGATCTCTGAACAGAACCTGACTAGCTCTTGGAAATGATGCCTCAGGATGGTGCTTTGAATACACAAGGTTCTGAAAATGTTTTTAAAATGCAAACACACCACTGTGGCATAATTTCATACTGTAATAACCCCTGTTCCATGTGCCAGTTAGAGAGGTGTCATGCTAAAGAGAGAGATAACATCTGCCAGCAACACTGTTAATAGTACTTTGGTTAATGAGCTTATGCAGCTCTCTAGTCACAAAGCTGAACCAATGTGTATGTGCCTTTCTAGGGTTTCAGGCTGAATAAACGGGGGTGTTTAATCATAATTTTTAGTATTTCCCATTTATTTTGAATGGTTCTAAAGGGAGAAATTATTTCTTTTATATTTTTCCAAATGCAAGCTGCGTGAACAAAAGCACAGCCAGAGTTTTGCTGCAGTAGTTAAAAACTCTCAGTGCTAAGCTGTGCTATTTTCCAGCCAGCACATGATGCAGAAAAATTACGAGTACATGCCTGAAGACATGTACTGGCCACTTCAGAACTGGCCAGTAATTATGTGGTTAGTTGAAATTATTTTGTTACTAGACTGTCCATGGACACATGAAACTGAATTGATTGTAATCAGAAAACACGTTGCAACAATGCAACAGAATTGCTCAGTTTAAGAAGAGGTAGAAGCGTATTTAGGGCTTGTGTCCACAGGCTAACAAAGTTGTTCTAAAACTGCATAATGCAATCTGAAATGAGGCCTGAAAGAGTTGGAGAGGGGGGCTGCATACTGCAGGAGCTGCCACGGTTCCACTCTCATAGAATGAAAGGTAACTTGTGCCATTAAGAAGATCTTACAGTGATTCTGTGCACCTTTTACAGGGTGCAGGTATCTTCACTGAATTTTCTTGCATGACTTCTGCAAATCCTAAACAGTGCTGGAAGGTACATAGGTACATCATCCATCTGTTACCTGATTGTGCTAAAAGTTGCTCTGCACGCCAGTAGAAATTCTTCCAAGTGCAAATTGCCTTTTGCCTGTAAAAGGACCTTTAAGGTTTTAAAAAAGAGCGGTATAATCTGTTTTCTGAAGGAAGGACTCGTAACCATGGAAAATAGGTGTTAGACACAGAAGGTCTTAGCAAGGCCTCAGTTTCCTACTCGTAATAAAAAAGTGGGCCCCGTGTGAAAGGCTGTTTTTTGTTTACACAATTATGCATTCTCATACCAAAAGCAAACCCATGAATCTGCACAAACCCTAATGTAAATCAGTGTAACAGCTTAAACTACTTGAAAAGTTTGCTATATCCACCTCATTACTTGACCAAATAGGACAATCTGAAGTTTAAATTTTCAATAAAACATAACACCTGGGTACATACACAAAATCAAACATGGTGCATAGAAAGTGTTACCAATGATGCAGATATTCATGCTGTTTCTCTTGTATAAAGGTCTCACATGGTAATGTCAGGTCATTTTACTCAACTACACAGCTCAGTTTAGACAATGAAGGATATTTTACAGATAAACCAAGTAACTCGATTCTCAAGACAGCCACTTAGGGTAGAAGAGAAAATATAAATGGTAAAATGTGCATGTAAATAAATTAGAAAGAAGAAACTCCTCAGCTTTCCACGCACACTCTAGAAAGACAGGATATCAACAACTCAGCCCATGCCCTACAATTTTCCCAGTCGTTTTTAGTGAAAATCAGAGCATTTGTCTAAGGTGTTGTGGTTAGCTCTAATAAATGAGGTAATCAGTTCTGTATTGTTTTTTTTTACCTTTGAGTTGCATGCGTAACCAGCTTCTCACAGCAAGACACATCCAGCTCCAAAAATTACATGCCGTAACTATTATGTGAGTGGGAAACAAAAGACAAGGAATAGCAACAGCTCTTACAGTAAATATTTGTAGAACTGTGTAAACAGTAATTTGGGTACCTGAACTATCATTAATAATACATTCTGAGATTGTTCTACCTTAAAATAACTGCTATAAAATTCACCTTTAAACTCACTTAAAACATAATTCTATGATTCTATTATTGCGGTAATTTACATTACGTTTCTTAAAAACAATACCAAAAAACCCCAGCGAAACTCCCTGTAGCCAGTAGATGGTGCTACATTCAAGCAGCGTTTCTAACATACGCCGTCAAAATACTGCTTACTACCTCAGGCATTTCAGGGAACTATTTAAATCAGCGTTTGTACTGGCCTGCTCAGAAACACCAATTACAGGCCTCTCTTACTGACGGTTTCTGGTTTCAGGCTCCTAATGATGCTGATGCCTCTTGGCTTCTAATCATCATTATTGTCACTTTTGGCTTTATTAGTAGAAAACAGTCTTTTCAGGAACAATACTGAGATGATATGCCGCTTAGCATTTACATACTTACGCTCATTTACTCTGAAATCTTGGCTCTGAGGCAATTAATCTTTTTCCAGTCACTTCCTTAAAACCAGTGTGTCATCTAAAGTATGCAGTTTAACTCCTGAATTTCTAAATTATGGCATTATTGTAGTGAACTGTGATTGATACAAAGAATTTCATCATCCTAAAGCCTACTCCAGAAGCATTGACGAGATCTTCTTGTTCCATGCATGAAAACCGTATTTTTCCACCAGCATGTCTGAAATATCCAGTGTATCACAACAGCAGCAGCACAAAAACCACAATCCGCTTACTCTGTCCCCTGCCCCTGGCCACAAAACCTGCACAACACATGTCTGTGGCAGGTTTCATCTGAACCAAATGCAACAGTCTTCAAAGGAAGGGCAGATTAAGGCTTCTCAGCTACACTGCACAGCAATTTCTTGTGACAGAAAATGGTAGTATTAGGAACTATACCATTGTCCTTGATTTGTCCTCCATATGCTTGTGTTCTTGTAGAGAAGATTGGTAACTGAGTAGACCCCATTTCTTTTGCTTCTTGTCAATGCTGGATGGATTGCAATCCCTAGAGAAACATCTCCACATAAATCACTCTGCTTATGAAAGCTACACGTTCTGGTAACGGAGCTTGTAGCCAGAGCCTGCTACTGCCGGGGGAGGGAGGACAGCATTCCACCTGTGTGAGATGTGAGCAGGTAGAAGATCTGCTTAGCTTGATGGCTAAACTTAAGGAGGAGGTTGAGACGCTGAGGATCATCAGGGAGTGTGAAAGAGAGATCGACTGGTGGAGTAACTCCCTGGCTGACCAGTTGGAGCAGTTCCAGGGAGATACCCCCCAAAAGGGGATGGACCCCCTGCCCTCTCACACAGAGGGGGATGGCCCGAGACAGTCCCTGCCCTGTAGCTGTCACCCAGAGGTAGGGGACCAAAAAGATGATGAGGGTTGGAAGCAAGTTCTGGTTCAGTGTTGTGGGCAGCCCTCCTCCCTTCCTGCCCCGCTTCCCCAGGTGACCCCCCGTAATAGGTTTGAGGCCCTGGATCTTGAAGGAGAGGTAGGTGAGGATGTGGTGCAAGGCCCGCCTACAAGTCCACATAGGAAAAGGCAGTCGACTTCGCACCTCAAGACTGCCTCTGGTAAGAAAGAAAGAAAGAAGGGTCACTGTAGTAGGTGATTCCCTTCTGAGAGAAACAGAGTTGACCCTCATCATAGGGAAGTGTGTAGTCTGCCTGGAGCCCGGATCAGGGATATCACCAGGGCACTCCCCAGCCTGGTGCACCCAACAGACTACTACCCGCTGCTGGTCTTCCAGACAGGTGA